TACTACAATATTTCTCATCATCATCAGCTTACTACAACACTCATCTAATACTCACTTATGCTAGCTCTCTTGGCTTGCACATATATTTTACTATAAATAGCTCCATCTTTTGTATGAAATAGATATATGAGATAGTGTACAGATAATATAACAAGCAGATCTTGATACAAATAAGATTCATATGTCTTCAACATATTCATCCGTGACACCCAATCCGACATCCTTGCACTCGCTACTCTGTACTCCGTACTCCGTACGGAGTACGCAAAATAACAGTACCGTGGTATATGGTATTAGCGGTACCGGGATCTTGCGTACCTCTGAAGAAACCTTGGTACTGAATAGCGATTGATCAACATAGTTTCCAGGCTGGCTTCTTCTTTCCTTCTTGCACTCTGCAGAGTGAGTACTTGCCAAGGGAAAATGAAATGCGCATTGTAATGTACAGAGCACTGTTCCACAATAAGCGAACCTGAGGCAATAATGCGAGAAGGCAGGCAACGCTAGGGGCGTCACCGCGATTAACCCTCAAAATGTTTTCAAATCAATTCATGGCTACGGAGTAAAGAGAAAATCTGCCTGTAAGATATTTCTAATCCGTAATTTAACTACTTACTCCGTACACTTGCTGCCTCCTTTTATAACTATAAATAAATCAGCCGCGGTGATAACCGTGGTACCGATAGGCATAGCCGCTGCATGGGCAACATAATCTGTGCAAACAGGACAAATCGAGCAGAACTCGGCTGGAGATCATGTGACCTGTATACTCCTTGGAAACCTCGTCGGGCAAGTAGCTGAGTGTTACTCCGTACTCCATCATAGGGTTGCAGTCCATTTGGTATCTTGGTATACCCGTCTATACTAATATTATTGTCTTCACTTTTGTGGATTTCTTCTTTTTAAGGCTCTGCTGGTGTTATTTTAATTTGGTTATTGCCAGTAAGCTCAGAGCCTGCTACCAAGAGCTGACAATAACTAAGGGTATCTACAGACAGCAAGGAACCTCACTCTACACCAGAAGTCAGAAGTCAGGAATACGAAGAGCGCTTGATGTAAAAATTATTCATCGCCCATGGAGAAGATACATACTCGGGCTGTTGAAGCCCTTCAACCATTCATTCACCTGGCAAAAACCTCATCGAATTCCCCACCCTATCTAGCAGGCATCATCACCAATGCCACCTCCTCCCCAAACACATTCATATTCGCAGAACTCCTCCATGTTCCAGCTATTCAGTCATTGCGCTCTCCAGACACACCAGCTGAATACCGCAATCATCTCACGCTTCTAGAAATATTCGCCTGGGGAACATGGGAGGAATACCAAGGTAAGTAGTGCCCCTGCAAAACGTCACCCAGAGACATTGGAATAGATAACCAATTGACAACACAAATAGCAACCCCGAACCTCCCCCAACTAAGCGACAAACAAGCTGAAAAACTCCGTATCCTCTCCCTCCTCACCCTCGCCACATCCCACAACCCCCTCACGTACGCCATTGCCATGAAATCCCTCTCCCTCCCCAACCATGCCGCCCTCGAAGCCCTCGTTACAAAGGCCATCTACTCCTCCCTGATAACCGCCCGCATCTCTCCAGCTACGACCCCAGCATTTATCGACGTGACCTCAACAGCACCCCTTCGCGACGTACGCCCCCAGTCAATTGCCCCCATGATATCCATCTTGACAGAATGGCAAGCGCGATGCAGTGATGTAGTAGGCGGCATAGAAGCAGAGATCGCAAAGATAAAAGCCGACGCGGAGAAACGGAGAGCGAGGGAGAAGGATCGGGCTACCCGCGTTGAGCGCAGCGTTGCGGGTTGGGATGGCAATGATGATGGCGATGATGAGGGGGGTTCCTCCGGAGCGGGAGCGGGAGCGGGAGCGGGTGGGAGCACCAGTTCTGGGGCGGGCTCAAAACACTCGTTGCCATTCTCCGGCGGCGGGCGAGGCCCCAGCCTCCGCTCGCACTTTTCTGCAATGGCTGGCGGTGGTGCTAGTGGGAATAAACGTGAGCTCAACGATTATGGGGATGAGAGTAGATATCGGGGTTATGGGCGCATGGACATGGATGGGCCGGCTATGGATGCTGATGAAGGGCTTGGTGGCATGGGCGAATCTACGCGTCATGCGAAACGCCTCTTGGCATTGGGAAGCCGATAGATCGTTTGCCTCTTTCTTTTTTTTTAAACTCTTTTTAATGAGATCTATGGTAGTACGAAAGCTTTCTGCTGTAGATATCTCCCATCGAGGTGTCTCATTTACGACACATTGAATGAAGTCGAGAATCCTGCTTGATATGATGTAGGTATTCTCCATGACAGGGGATCATGAACTCACTTGTATACTTGCCTGGTGCCATGAAGACATTCTGTTTACTTTTCTGAACTAATGGCTCGTCAATGAAATGTAAATTTCACTGTGAACATGTGTATGATAGGCCACGAAATGTTTCCAAATCGTGTATCAAACGAAGGATAAGAAGGCCATGCATGTTCGGCTCCGTTAGGTATAAGATTGTCAAAGAGGAAGACAGGAGGACTGGAATCAAATAATAAAGATAAAGCACAGGCAAAGCTTAGAAACAGGGCTAACTAATGCATATATATGGTAGCTAATACTAATCGCTTGAAGCATCTAAAAAAAAGAAAAGAAAAGAAAAAAGAAACGTATGTGTTTCCATGCTAAATTGACCAATACATACATTAAACTTCCACCAGGGATATATCAGTTACAAAAGCAACGCAGGAAGCAAAGAAATAGCGTAAAGTAGAAAAAGGGACTTGATGGAAAGATAAAAAGAAAGAAAGAAAAAAGCATCCAAAGTCATAAAAATCGCAGTGAAAACTTGAGCATAGTGGAGGAGGTTGTGAACTGGGACGAGACGATAAGCCAAAATGGAATGACGGCGTGGCTCGAAACTCCGCCTTCTAGACCAAACTATTTGAAGATATTTTGCGATACTCAAAATAAGACCAAGTGCAACTTTATTTCTGTCCTTTTCGGCCATTGCCACCACATAGAAAGGTGTCAAAACCGACAATGGCATGAATTATTATTTGGCCTCCATTTGGAAATTGCTCGGGTGTATGATATGAGAACTCCTAAACGCCATTGCTGATTCCGGAATGAAGAAAACCCATAGGATAAGTATATGAGATGAAGGACTAATACGCCAGGCCGAATTTATGTGTCCAAATAAATGAGCGAGAAAACCCTTAGCATTTTGGCGCAATGGAGTAGAACGAAAAAGCGAGAAAGCGAGATGACGACAAAGAAGAAATGTGGTGCCAAAGGATAAAATTGTGTTGGGTGTTCTAAAGCCGAGTTCCGGGAACGAAAATGAACAGGACACAGAAGACAACTGCAACAAATGCTGCCAGCAATAGGGAAACAGATGCGCGTTTGTTAAGCAATGATCGAACATAGGGTTCCCGAATTTTTGCCCACGTGAAGAATGTGTATTCGCTGAAACCAGCTAGAGCAAATATTGGGTCGATCTTATATTGATATGAGGAGAGGAAGTACGCCGCGAAGACGAAGGGCAAGATAACCTGCATCAGTTACTTGTTAGCACGCATAGCCGCCCAACTAATATAGAGAAGAATTTAACAAGGCTGCTTACCCAACATCGAGTGCTTTTTGGTTGGTCTGTAAGAACAACGTAAAAAGCGGCCCAGAAACCTCCCCCGAAGCTGGCAAGTGCTAGGACCAATCGCGCCAAGATGCTGGGGGGGACAAGGTTACCCAAGGCCTTCGCCTGTAAATAGCCTGGAAACGCGTCACGCTCCATTGCCTGGAAGACGTAATCCTTTGCTGTGTCGAAAACCTCTGGGTCGTCTCTACCCTCCCGTTCAATCATATGCACTATATCCTCGACTATATTTTCTGGAAGGATGACTTCCCGTTCCGAGCCAGGTAAAAGATAAGTGTACAGAATCCGTTCCGCGCTGGCGCGGATATCAGCCCGGGCGACAGTACGACCAGGGGAATTGGAAGTGTTGCCAGTAGTATGCGCGGGGTCTAGGTTTCCAGGTCGGGGCGGCGGATCATTCGATTGAGTTCGGTGGGGTGATTGGTTGGAAGCGGTGCTGTGCACTGACTGCCCGGATGTATGGCTCTCAGATCGCAAGAAGGCGGACAGCCGCATATCGCGATTCCGACGTCCTCCACTTTCGTAACCAGACGGCCCTGCCCCTGTATCATCACTTTCGAAAGCATCAGAGGAACGTGGGCTTCCAGCCTTTTCAGCTTCCGGGGTATCAAGAAGAACGGAACGACGCAGTTCGCGAACGTAATGGCGACATAGTGACATGTGTTGCGACACATCTAGCCTAGTAGTTGCAATCAAAAGTAAGCATATCTGAGCTCAATTGCTATCGTGAGCTTTGACTAGAAAACTAACCAAAAATCTAGATAATCGACGGAGCATTGCTGGTCCCTCATGTAGATATAGAATGAAAAAAGGTCAACGGGAGCGAGAGTCCTCCGATTCAGGACCTCCATAAGAGTTGGTAGCCTGTTACAGTGCTCCATTTCCGCGAGAACCATTGGTAGGTTCAACGAGTGACAGTGTTCTATTCAGGGAGGAGGGCTGGGTGCTTCGAAAGAAACCCCTGGGTGTAGTTTACACCCCGGTTTGGGAACAGGCAAATCAAGTCTATCCAACACAAATATTTGATTCTCGATAGTCCGGGAGTATCTGTACGTGGCTTAAGTGCTGTTGCGCAATTTATTGGTATATATGAGTTCGGGTGAGCTCAAAATTTGGCCTGGAGGCTTCCCTATCTCAATGGCAGCTAGCAGTCAGGGAGAAAAATGGCAATAACGGGAATCTGAAAAAGAGAACGACTTGTGGGGAGGTAAAGCGAATGGTCGCAAGGGAACGAGGACCCAAGTGCAGCGAAATCGAGTGCGTTGGACAAAGGTGTTGTCGTCAGTGTTTACAGATGAAGTCGCGAGAGGCTATGACGGCCCGCAACAATGTTATTCCGACAGGGGAAGAGGTCACGGGATATCGAAGTCCTGCCCTAATAATACGGAATTTGTTTCAACGCACCCCATAGTAATGGTAGGCAACAACTAAGTCGATTACAGATGTTTGCTGTTTAATTATAGGGTATATATGGTAGGTTGCTAATTATATCTGCTATAAATACAAAACAACCAAAGTAAACACCCCTCGCCTCCCAAACAAAAGGGAAGGATTATTCACCTATCATTGAAGTCACAAGGGATATCTTTAAAACTGCAGCTCCTATTAATCCGCCAAGTGCTGGTTCAATCACAGATTAGCTGGGGGAACGAAAGCCGCAGGCGTATCGCAAGATTTTTCTCTAGGGGATGAATGTGAGACAAAACTTACCGACCACTCAGGAACATTTTTGATTTGCTGCCACATAAACTTCTCAAGTTTGTTTGCACTTTTCACGTACGCGGTGTTCTCATTGTTGTACTTTCGGCAGTTATCAAAAATTAAGTTGGCGTCTTTGATGAAATCTTCCGGTGTTGGGTACATATCCTTCTCATGCTTTTCCTCCATTGTTGATAAATCCATTGGCTCTTGGATCACTTCATAATAGTCCGGGACCTCGTCTCTATTGACAGGTTGAACAAATGGCCAGGCGGAGGAATGATTTTGCATGTCGTTGAGTAGGTGAAGTAATTGGTTATAGTTCGGACCATGGCGAGGTTGGCGGGCCAACTCATCCATATCAGGCGACCATCCAGACTCCTTAATTGCAGGTACGCTGAGAGGGTCGATTTTAAAGGCGCCGTTCTTCCATTCCTTGGGTGGTGCGTGGACAATATGTGATTTGCTAAAGGCTCGAATTTTTGCGTGGACTGCTGCCTTTTGTTTTAAGAGCATCCGCCCAGCCTCGAGATACCGGATTTTCGGGAGCATTGTACATTGCATAATTGTACCCCCTTCGTAGTCTTTGATATAGCCCATCCAAACGGATTTTTCGAGTGTGATCTCTTTCGTAAATCCTTGTTTCTTGAAATATCCGAGGGCATAATTATCGGCGTATGTAAGGAAATGCATAACATCCGAGGTAGCTTTCACGTAGTCCTATGCCTAAGAATCAGCGCGTGGCTTGCAGGCGTTTTCTTGGTGAGTCGGTATGCATACCTTTAAATGTGACATTAAGTGGGCTCCATAACCTTTCACCTGTTGATCAGAGGATATGGCGCAAAACACAATCTCTGCGAATTTTCTTCCTTTAAAAGGGCGAAATGTTATGCCCCTTGGCCAGGTTAGCTTGAATGCAAATAAAGGGGGGTGATCTAGATGGCGACATACCCGACGACCTCTAACGGTTGTTTTACAATGGCAATCGATAAATGAGTCCTATCATACACTAGTCTGGCGATATAATCTTTCGGCATCTTTGGCAGCTGCTTCTGAAAAATGCATTTGAGACCAGTGAGAATGATAAAGCTTTCCCGCTCGCCATCATTGTTAACAACGCGAAATTCAATTTCCCCCTTCCGTTCCTCTATAACCGCGGGCTATGTAATATTTGAATTAACATCGGTTCAATAACTTATAAAGGGGCGAAAAGGGGGCAAGACGGACGTACCTTCTCCGGATACGGCACAAGTTTGAGAACTTGTTTGTCATCCTCCTGGATAAGAATAAGAGTAATCAGCATATCATTAGAGTCGTTTTCAATATCGCAATAATCAAACAAACCTGATCTTCTTTAGGAGACTCCGTTCTCGCTCTTTTCACCCGATGCACAGTGTCATCCCCCTCAGCATACTCCTCAGAAGCCTTGCGCTTGCCACCTATACGACATTTGTTAGGACAACTTCATGTATCAGGGAGCGTTTCAACGTAATAATAATAAGCGACTCACGATCAAGAGCTATTGGCGCCATTCTTTTTCTTTGTTAGAAATTTTCGATTCCGGGTTACACAAAATTGGCTGATCGACATGCGTTTGCGTCGGCTCGGCAAAAAGGGAGCGATGGATTGATGTCATCTAGTCCCGTGACTTCGCGTCGCTCTCTCGAGATAATATCGGAAATATGTTTATCCGTCCATTCACGAGAGGTGTTCCATCCAGGAAAGGAAATATCCAACTACCTGTGTTGTCTCAGTATAGAACAGATACCTCATTTCTGATTTCTTGTAGATCAGCAGTTAATCTGTGTCGAAATTTGAGTGTTCGAATCTTTCAACTTTACTTTGCGTGCAACGTGGTTGAATTGCACCGATGTCCTTGAACGAGATCTGGGATTCTTCTGGTGGAAGCCCATTCTATCCTTTAGTTGCGAAGAATAGTCAAATCTTCGTTGCTTTCACTCTTCTAGTGACCTGTAAGTCAGATATCGGTCCGGTGACCTGCCTAGGCAATATATCCAGTTTACTAACTATTCACATCAGCTATCGTCCTCGTTGTTTTTTTCGGACTGAGTGAGTATTCGCGTTGCACGAGGGCTTTCGGATTACATGCTGATTATTTCGTGTTCAAGAGCGGTCACTTCTCAGTCTCCCATTACTTGGAGTGCCAGCTTCATTGGCATTTGGGTAAGTTCTCCTTTTTTTGTCATATATAATCAATCCATCTTGTATAACAATTCTAATCACCAGTAGATTCGGTGCTGTTTTCATGATTTGTGCAGTGGGGGTATACGTTTAATTTGGACGTCAATCAAAACTATGTACGACAAATCGGGGTTGCGGGAGGATTTTTAATTCTAAGTACATTTTTGACATCACGCGGATTAGCTACAACCACACACAACCTTTTCATCTTAAACTACATTTTTCAAGTCGTAATCGCCATGTCACAGCCTGAAGGCCCGGTATTCTCAGCTGTCTCTAGCTCTGTTCATCAGTTATATATTCTCCTACGATGCATTGGGTTCTCTCCAAAAGCTTCAGTTCAAATAACCTCACAAGGCATTCGCTTCTCTGCTGAAGATGGACGAGTAATGCAAGGCGTCGCATTTCTTGATAGGAAACTTTTCACCAATTACATATTCAATCCACCATCGTCCGAGCCTAACAATGCTACAAATGCAGACAACGAGGATGGTGAAGATGGCTCCGACAATACTATCTCCCCACTGTTTTTGATTTCTCTTTCTGCCTTGATCGAGACACTCCAGATCTTTGGTCTCAATGATGCCTCACCATATTCCAATTCTACGGCAAATCAAGCCACATCAACGGCTCTAAACGCGTTCTCGGGGCCAGCGTTACTTCTCAACCGAACATGCACCATCAGCTACATCAAACAAGGATCACCACTTACCATCACTCTAATGGAGGCCGGCGTGACCACCACCTGCGAACTGACTACCTACGCGCCGGACGACCTCGATTTGGATTCCTTAGCTGGAGATCGAGATATTCCCTTGCAACGTGACGCCATTGTATTCAAGTCCATTATGCGCTCAATGTGGTTGCACAACGCCATAATGGAGCTCGACTCCACCAACCCAGCCGTATTGTCATTCAGCGTCTCCGCAACTAAAGAACCATATTTTGCTCTATCTGCCTCTGGCGGCCCATTCAGCGAATCTACCGTGGAGTTCTCAATCGACAAGAACCCCGCCGCCGGCGCCGGCGCCGCAGCAACAGCAGGGAATGAACCTGCTTACAAGACCCTGCGAAACGATGACGGGGCCACTGCTGCACGGCAACTGCAAGCGCGGCGTGGGAAACTTGCCCCAACCGTCACTGAAACTTTTCTCGTCAATTCACCGTCCAGGTCAAGGGTTCGTCAAAGCTATAGATTCGCACTTATCAATAAAGCGCTGCGTGCAATGGCAGCGTCGAGTAAAGTTAGTATTCGCATTGATAGGCAGGGCGTTCTGAGTTTACAGTTCATGATAGATTTTGGAGATGGCGATGGCGTCGAGGGGAGAGGTGGAGCTCCGCCGCCTATGCCTAGTAAGAAGATGGAGAACGCAGGTTTTGTGGATTTTCGATTTGTGCCATTGGTCGATGACGATTACGAAGATGAAGAGGATGGTGCTAGTAGTGGTTGAGACCCGGGGGCACATTGTTTTGCGTCCATATTCCTTTTTTTTTTTTTTTTAAAGCGCGTTCTTCTAATATGTTAGGGCATGTATTGTGTATTTTACTTGTGAAAAACTCACTCCATTTTTCCTACACATAACAGAATCCCATCTGGAAGGCACTGCGCTATAAAAAGGAAGTTCCCGTTGATTTCACAGAATCATAGATTTCAATGACACTTGTACTAAAGAGGAGAATGTCAAATTTAACAGGGAGATGGCTACAAAGTAGAACAGATCAAAACAGAGATAGCTGGGCTCTTGCAGATATATTAACAATAATAATAACCTTACGAAAATATTGTTGCACCAAACTTTACATGACCTATTTGCATCTTATCAGCAACTGAACGAAACACCTCTTCAGATGGGTGATCCCAGGAGGAAAAAAAATACTTACAGCTGCAATAGATTGTCTCTCAATAATAGATTTCTGCCTCTCATTCCTCGAAACGCGGTAGTAGTAATCGCTAAAATCACCACACTGCATATGTCGCAGGAACTCCTCATCATGTGTGATGACAATGAGCTGGAAATTAGCCTGCTGCTGGCGTGACTTGATAATGTCATGCAACGATTCGGCAAGGGAGCGAATATTATCTCTGTCAAGATTCGTCGTGGGCTCGTCCAGCGCGATCAGGCCGCAATTGACACCAAAGCATTCCGCAAGGGCAAGACGTATGATGATGCTCGCGAGGACCTTCTGGCCTGCACTGCAGCGGCCACGCATGTCCATCTCTGCGTCTTGCTTTACCATGCAGACGCGATAGTTGTAGGATCGGTTTCCCTTGGCGTTTTCGTTGTCAGAGCGGATTAGGATAGTGTCCACGTCCGTTCCCCTATACGTCTTCTGCCAGAGCTCTTCGATAATACGGTTAATTTCCTCCATTTTTAGACTGTGATACTTCATGATAGCCTTATCAAGAGCACTACCATAGCGACCAAGATCGTCGACTGCCGCCTTCGTTGTTTCTACCTTGATATGGGCCTCTTTGAACTTGACTGTAGCGTCTTTATAGTCGGTATTCCAGTCGGCCAACAGCTGCATGAGTTGATCATCCTTTGACTTCATTTCCCCCATCTTGCTCGCCTGTCTCGCTGATAGGGCGTTGTGCTCTCGTGTTCGTCGCTCCGATTCCTCCCTAAAACGGCTGCGATCCACTTCCGCATTCTGGGCGGACAATTCCTCAATGGTTGCGTTTACATCTTCGAGTGCTGCTGTTTCCCGCCGGTATCGAAGATTATCAGCGTACTGTCTCTTTGTGTTTTCGCTATCTTTAAGCCTGGTTGAAATTGCATTGATGTCCTTGGTTATTGACCCCTGCTCTTTTTCCAAGCTCGCAATTTCCGATTCTAAGTTGTGTACTTCTTTTTCACACTTGATCAATTGTGCCGGACCGCCTCGCTCATTGTAAGAGGTGATCTCTTCATTCGCCAGGTCAAGTTGATGCAAACTGTCAGACAGCTGGGATGCTTCTAGTTGTAGCTCATGTTCCCTAGCTTCAGCCCGAGAGGCAATGTCATCATACCTAGCCTGTGCTTTTGAAACCTCAGGAACAAGACTCTCAATATCATGATCCGCCTTTTCAATGCTTTCACGATGTTTAGCATTCAGCTTACGATATTCTTCGACACGGGCAGCGAGGCTCGCTTTCTTCTCTAGTTGATAGTTGGCATTGTCCAAGTTGCTTCGCACATCTCGAAGTTTTAACTCAAGGGCTGTGATCTCGGTTCGCGACTGATCCTTCTCATTATTCAACTTCGAAATGATTTTCTGAAGCTCGCGAGACTTTTCTCCAATCGCAGAAATGTGCTCCTGGATATCTTCCAATGTTCGGGAGCCGCTGACATCTTGTTGGTTTGCCAAAAGGTCCTGGACCTGCGATCGAAGGGTTTTGATTTCACCATCATATTTTGAAATCGTCGCAACTGTTTTCGATAGAGATTCAACGTTCTTTTTAGACTCCACACGTTCGCTAACGATCTTGTCATGGTCCTCGATCTGGGATAGCAACTCCTCTCGTTGAGACTCAAGTTGAGACTCCTCTTTTTCAAGCGCCGGAATCTCAGTGGTGGAAAGGCGAACCCAAGTGTCATAGAAGGTAGAAACACCTTGAGCTGCCTCTAGATCTTCCTCCAGCTGTTGCATGCTTTCATCAACAGCATCCTGCGTAGCTCTTTTTACTAGGGCATCGAGCTTATTGAGGAAAATTTGGAATTCGCCTTCAGTTTTGAAAGGTCTGGAACACATTCGGCATACCTTCTTTTGCTTAGCTGCGTCCATGCATTTGCTGAGGTACTCTCCCAGGCCAGCATACTGATCGGCATCCTTCTTAGCCATATCAAGCTGTACTTGTCGTTGCTTAAGTATGTCGGGATACTCGGCGGGTTCGTCGTCAACAGCATCACGTATTTTTTGGATGCATTGTTTCAGTTCATTTCGACGCTGCTGGAGATCCTTTCGGGTTGTTTTCAATTTGAACTCAGCGTGTTCTAGTTCCCTACTAACACCATCTCTATCACGTTCGACGCGGGTCAATGCATTGGTGGTTTCCTGCAATGCTCTTTGATATTCCTGATCGAGTGTAGATGGATTCCATTCCCGAGTTAAAAATTTCTTGATTCTGTCACTGTGTGCCCCTTCCATAGTTTCGAGGCTGCGTTCGCGATCCTTAAGCTCCTTCTTGAGATGGTCTAGTCGCGCAAGATCCCCGGCTCTCTTGGTCCCTTCAATCAGCTCCGCATTCAGTTTCGAGCTCTCATCCTCCAACAATCGAATTTCGGAGGTTTTGCCTTGGATCGCACTGTCCCAAGATGCGGCCTTTGCTTTTTCCTTCGCTTCATGTAAGGAACGTTCGGTTTCTTCAATTCTTGACTCCAAAACAGCTTTACTACCCTCATCTATGTCAATTTCATCTAGACGCCTTTGGTGGGAATCTGCCTCAATATCATTAGACGATATCTGCTTTCTTGCAGCGTTTTTCACTTCTTGTAGGGTTGATTTCCGTTGGCTGAGTTGGTTTAGAAGGCTCTGTACTTCACGCAGTTCCATCTGGGCTTCCCGTCGGGCTCTCTCTAAAGTTTGGTTTTGATCTTTAGATAGCTTTCGAATTCGCTGCATGAAATCGCTAACCTGCATGTCGTCGAGGTCATCGTCAAACCCATGAATGTTATTCTGTCTGGCAATTTCTTTAATCAATTTCTCGCGCCTTCTAAGTTGTCGTTCGAACTGAGCCTTGTCATTTTCGTGTTTGCCATATTCAGCTTGTTTAAGCCCTAGCCTTGTTCGATTGTCTTCAATCACTTGTTTGAGCTCCATATATTTTTCCTTGAGCGATTCTTCTTGTTCTCGATACTGGATTTGTTGTGACTCGAATTGGTCCAAAGTCCTTTCAAGCCATTCATCGGACTCATCCACCTCAACAAGATGTTCTTGTAGGTTGGTGATGCTGGCCTGGATGCTCTTGGCTTCTATCCGCTTTCCTTCCAATGTGCCAAGAATTTGCGCATAACTTTCCGACTCTTTCCAGGCCTTGTCTGCTAGTTCTGCGGCTTTTCTCATCTGCTGTGAGAGCTCATGGCTCTCAGCACGTAGCGCCTCAATCTCCTCTTGCAATTTGATTGATCGTTTTTCCGCCTAGAGGATGTTAGCTAAGACATGCTGTCAAAATTTTGGAGAATGAACACCTACGCGGTCAGCTTTATCCTTATTTTCTTTTGCATGCTGTTCCATGATCTTGAATTTAGAGAGTTCTTCATTCTGCTTTTTCCGAAGTGCTTTGATATTATCGATAGCCTTTGTGTACTTCAAGGCTTCAAATATCTCGTCGAACTTCTTCTTTAGAACGGAGGGCTCACTCATTGGCCACAGACTCTCATCCTGATGGCAGAAGATGACAGAGTCGAGGATGGCTTTTGAAACACCTAGATACTGAGGCATAATCTGATCAAGTTCGGCCACTCTCGAAGAAATGGACGTTCGTTCGCCGTCCTTAACCATCAGGAGCTGGCCTTCCAAGGTTTTCTGTTGTCTCGTCGTTTTCTTCACGGTAAGCTGAAGACTGCGTGTCGCAACCATCCTCGCTCCCGACATAGACTTGAACGAGAGCTTTACTTGCGCCAGGACCTCTTTCTCGCCACATAACTGTGATATGTCTTTAGCTCCCCATCTTCAAATCCAACACGTATGGCATCTGTAGACAAACCTTCGGATCGTGAATAAAGGCACCGCCTTTACTATTTGGGGGGAGGTCTCCAGTAGTCGCATATTTGAGGCATTCAATGATGGTCTATGGCCCAAATCAGTCAAGTATCAGAATAGACATGTATATACTGATTGTTGCATACCGTCTTCCCGGAACCATTGTAGCCGACGATCAGTGTCAACGGGGTATGGAATTGGATAGTTTCGCTGCGGGTGTTGTCAAACGACCGCACACTATTATATAAAGTGCCAGTAAAACATTAGCGAGATGCTCGTAACTGGGGAACAGAGTATATATCATGAGCCCTTCTTACCCAAGAATAGATAACTTGTCAATTTTCGCTTGAGTGTTGTTAGCTACGTTGGAAGACGGACTGCTAGTAGGCGAACTCACACCTGAACAGCTGATTAGTCCTTTACCTTTTCAGACGGAAAAGTGCACATATGTAACACTCACATCTTGCTAAATCAAGTTTCCTGAACCCGCTCCTCGTCAGGCCGGCTTGCAGCGTTGGACGTTGTGGAAAACGGCTACTGGTTGGCTTTCGTCTCAAGGGCGTTCGTGGAGAAATGCTGCCTTCGCGTTCAACGCGGATAGACTGACTTGGGCGAGGCACGACATCACGTGATCTTGTCTTGTGAGGAGGTTCCAGCTAAACGGCAGCCAGTTCTAGGCAGGTTCTAGTTCACAGTAGGAACCCAACTTGCCAAACAATGGATGACGATTGCGTAACAGCTGTATTATGGTTTTTATTCATTGTTTTCATTGTTAAGCACTACCAGAAACTTCTGAGGTCTATGGGGGAGCAGGCTGCCAATCCATGCCTTATCATCCAGGTGCGGGTACGGGCACAAACCCGGGCCGATAAGCTCCAGCGGGGTGCCGACCTTAACTACGGCGGCCCCTACTATTGCGTAGAGGAGGCTAGCAGCAAGCGAGGTCGGCACGGGGCGGGGGAGTGCCGAAGCGGCTCTTGGGGGCTGGCACTGACGGCTGTTGACCTGTCGGCACAAGCCACCCCCCGCAAGGCTACCTAGCATCGCTCTGTACAGGCATACCGAAACAAGAAACAAAGAAGCAGCCATGACGCGCGCGTGATAAGCAATGTAGGAGCACAAGAGACATTATTGTTTCCTCCTACTCACAACTAACTAAGTTACATACTACTTATATACCTTCGTCTTTGATTTGTCGTTTTCAGTCCTATTTCGTATCTACCTTTCGAGAGAACCATCTATAACTCCGCCTAATATCAGTGCCCCCCAAACCCCCACAGATCAGGCCCAGCATATGGAACCCTATTCTTTATCTGCCGCTTCGGGCTTTCCCCATGTCAGGATATGATCACCGATTCGCTCGAGGAATTTCAGATTATTCTGCACACGTATGATACAGCCAACCACTCAGCAACCACTTCGGCCATGTCATAATTAGTAGTTATAATAAGCTAATAAACTAAATCGCGAAAGATTCCTGCCACAGTACTAAGTGCGCAAGCGCCGTTTGCGGCAAGTTTCAATGACGTGGAGCCGCATCTTCACAATTTCGGTGCCTCGGATGCTCAGTATAGAAATATCCAGACCTTCGGCACAATCTCCCCGTTTCAAACAAATATTCCGGATGAATCATCAAAGTGGGAACAAAACAAACCGAAAGAGTATATTCCTTGCGCGGTTCCCACCATCACTTCGCCTCCGGGGATAAATCCTGCTGGCACCAGCGTGGAGCTGGGTGTTGAGCCCACCCAAGTGGAAATACGCATCCTGGCGGGATTAAGGGACCTGATACAAATTTTAGATTTGTCCGGGATATTGTTATCTGTGTCGCCTTGCTGCAAGGCACTGACAGGGTACGAATCGGAGGATTTAATAGGCAATGTCTTATTTGAGTTCATCCATCCAGATGACCGCTCAGTGGTCGTCAAAGAGTTTGCCCATTCAATAAACACAAAAACCCCATTCCAATGTTTCTATCGTTTCAAGAAGCATGACGGGACCTATCTACTGCTAGATGCCCACGGTCAAATAGACTCAGCGACAAACATGAAGTTCTCGATAATCGCCCGCCCCTACCTGACCAAAGAAACGCAGCTTCTCGACTCATTCCTCGAACACAAACTCGAAAACGAACGTCTGACAAGACGAATCGCAGAACTGAAACGAGAAGGGGAATTTCAGCTTCATAACGATGAAAATAAACCAGACAACGAACAAGTTACCTCAATAGCTCCACAAGCCCATCACAATTTAACAAGTACCCCCGGCTTCCACCCTCCTTCTACTGGTGCATTTCAATTTAGACCTGCCACCGTACCAAACCCTAAAGCTCCAATACTGCCCAATGAGCCTTTCACAGGATCAAGCACAGATAGATTCCAGCCGTTAACGCCATCGCAGCCCCAGCATAACATTTCTCAGCCCGCTGGCTTCGAAGGGAGCACATACGTAGACGACATCGAGCTCATGACAGGCCTGCGCTATGGAGCAGGTGAACGGGCGCGGGGGATAAGCACTGGCGACCCTAACGGCACTCTTTTCCAGAGCGTCGCGCTTTCAGTGGGGGTGTTCACGTCCAGCCACAGGGACGGTGCTAAGGGCGGCAAAGGAAATGCTGAACGGAAACGGAGGAGTAAGCCTACCGAAACGAATTCCTGCACTGATTGTGGGACGTTCTCGTCGCCTGAGTGGCGGAGGGGTCCGAGTGGGAGGAAGACGCTGTGTAATGCTTGTGGGCGTGAGTGTTCCTTCTCCTTCACTACTTATTAACTATTTCTAGCCATGCTACTTTTACGGATATCCGTTGTGATGAGCTGACATCTATCGTTGAAGTGCGCTGGGCGAAGCAGGTTAAGAAGCGCCAACAAGCGACGGGCACTACCACTATATAAGAGTGGGCTCATAATCTCTTAAGTAACTAACTGACTTGTTCTCTAACCATCTAGTTTAAAGGGTCCACTTTTCCTTCTTCCATACTGCTCGTGATGAATAATGATGATATCCGAAACTGCCCTTGTTCTGGACATGAATACGTTGATTTGAGCTTTTCTTTGGAATTCCTATTCCCCTGATACGATAGCCCATATCTTCTTCTGCTATATAATGTGTAATATTTACTAGTTACGCACGACTTATGACTACATCTACCCATATGTTTTTGGTGTATATATTAATTACTCTATATAAAGAGCGGGATTTTTTCCTTTATATTTTTATGGGACTTGAAACATAACCTTTATCAAATAAAATCCTGATTTCTCAGCTTTCGATATGCGTCAATATGCTCGGGAATGGGAGAAATAGGGAAACTGATACAAAGGGGGCGAAAATTTCTAAACTCAGACCACATACTTCCAAATCCATTCTGTGAAAAAAATCCTTGGAAGCAATCTCCCACATAGCAGTTAGGCAGGAAGGGGGAGAAAAACCCAGAAACGCCAGTTCGATAAATAGCAGAACGGAACAGAGCACAGGAAAAAAGTAGCACGAGATTGGTTTTACGTGTCCATCCGATTGTCACCGCCAGAGCCTCCCGTATCGCCCTCCTTTGGCCCTTCATCCGTTTCCATAGTTGACTTCGTCAGCTCCTCGTTCTCTGGCTTCGGGTCTGACAGCATTGCAGCGGTATTAGGCCCTGGCTGATCTTCGTTGGTCTCCTCTACAGGCTTCTCAGGTATATCGCCAATGAAAATATCTCCATCAGCATCCCTATCTGCATCGTCCTTCAAATCACGGCCGCTCGAGGGATCATTAACTGTAGCTCCTTGTGAAGTGTCTTTCAAATCTGCTGCTGAATCACTACCACTACGAACAACATCGGTGCGTGGGGGGCTGGTCGACAGTGACATCTCCAGCCCCTTCCCATCCTGCAATCCGATATCCTTCACGCCCAGAATATTTGGACCTCTCGCATGAGGCACTTCCTCGACTTCATCCCCTTGTGCCTCTGCCACGCGCCCCTCACCTCCCAGGGACGAAGCTGTCTGGTGTTGCCGCTGATGCTCATGCTGTACTGTTGTAGGAACAACGCCAGCCTCTTGCTCCTGCCGAATGAGTTCGCCCTGCGTCATGGCGCCGGATTCTCGCGGCGGAACTGCGGAGGAGGACGGGCTGCTGCTACCGGGCGAGCTCGCACCTGCTCCACTCGAATTAGGACTAGAGTCAGGTTCTACGAAGCCATGACCACCCTTACCTCCAGGAAGATCAACATTGTTCAGCCACGGGATCGGGGTGAGAAGGGCCCCTCCAAGAGACTCATCGCTTCCCAGCGCATTGTTGCCACTGAGCGCGAAACTACTGCCCCCTGCCCCGTTGACGCCGTTGACGAGGCTAGTATCAATAATACCGCCAGGCAAAGGCATGGACACCGGTAATGGGAAAATATCTGCTCCGCTGGAAACCGACACGACACGGTCGACTGCACGGAGATACGCTGGTAACGTGCGGTAGTCACGGGTCGGCCGTAGTATCAACTCTGCCAGCCGCTGGATTGTATGGGGTGGTTTTGCGGGAAAGTATGTCTTTAGAGTGGATTTGATGGACGAGAGGATCACGACGAGGGGTGGAGGGAGGGCGTCGTCCGTCGGACCGGACTGTGGTTGCGAATCAGGAATGCGTTCGCTAGAGGCGGAGGATGGAAAAGTCGGAACTGGTGGTCGGCGGGGTGGAGTCTGTAGATGTGACGGCGGAGCATTTTCTTTATTGCTATTTGCCTGCGAGTTTACTTCTTGTGTAGAATAGGAAGAGGGGATAAGGCTTGAGTTATCAGCGGCTCCACTCCAAGGTGGAGGGACGGTGGGCATCGGGAAGTCATTGTGAATTATCTATGCGAACTGTTAGCCACCATGGGAGCTTTATTGCCTCGTTTACGCTTCCGGGTAGAGTTAAGCTCTTGTAAAGGAGACGTACATGTTCGAGTCGTTCGATTAAAGGGTCTAGCAAGCTAGGCCATCTCTCACTACATCAAGCACCATTTCACGGTCAACGGCGGAGCGCATAGACGAGCTTAAAGATATACGCAAACATACTAATCCATAGTTCCATCTTTGGCGACAGCCTCTAGCACTTCCTCATCTATAGCCAAAGGTCTTGTTAGCTTCGGCTCAAGCTTCGCGGGCCTAGGTACTGAACGCGCGATCTGGCGTAGCTAGTACGCAAGATTGAGTCCAGGTTGATGGATGAGACAACAACCATATAAAGTGGACACTTACCTAAAGACATTTTTTTTTCTGGAGTGTTTCTCCGTGCATTGAGCAGAGTCGAATAGCTTCCACAATGGTGTCGGCGGGGAAGTGTAAAATTCGTCGTATGGGAGTGTCAATATCAAATTGTTCAAGTCGCGACTTTGAGGTAGCGGTCACCTGATTTGATAGCTCAGCGCTTGCCCGTTGGCCAGACCCTTAACTATAACGATCACTAAACTTTAGGGGCACGCCCACCCCTGGAAGCTAGCCCCACCCGCTAAACGGTAACTCCCGTCTAGGGATCGTAGGCCCATCTGGCTCAACTGAACAAACGTGACAGATGGGTGTTGAGCACAGAGGCTTGACGCCCCAAACTTTCTGTTGGCCGCCATACTCCCCAACCACCAACCATGCTGTGACACGCTGGCAAAAACCAGCCAAATTTTGAGCCTCATCTTGAGGATTCCATCCATGGATGGAAAAAGCAGCACTGGTTGATCTGCATGTGAAGCCACTATGGAGAGACGCCACAATTCCTTCTCGTATTGGCACGTTGCAACCATCGAGACTGTGCAGGAGGGCTGTGCCTTGGTCCTCTTGGACGAAAGGATCAATAACGCGACAAGGGAAACGTTGAACGCTTATTGGAACTGGCCATGTGTCGATCTTCAGTGAACGGGTAACTATATATTGGCAACTATTTTCCTGATATTCAATTCTAGGTGCTAGAATTGGATTCTACCGCTACCCAATCATCCAACATTTTCGCTCTGTTTTTCCTAGCCATTGCAAATATCAGAGCCCTTCATGGGATTTGATAGATGGAAGAAGCGCCTTTCTGGGCTCGGTGCGAAAAGGCCATCTTCACAGTCTTTCAATTACTCTTCTGCGCCATCACCAAGAGATACCTCTCAGCAGAACTTTTTGTCTCCGAATAATGGTCCTCACCCAGCTGCCGCAGGAAACCCGCCATCACCTTCTTTGCGATATGTCGCAGGCCCAGCGCCAATCCCGATAGCATGGCCCCTTACTTACGCTGTTTATCCTGAGGAGGGAGTCCAAGCTTTGATATTCTATCATAAGATTAAGTCCGTGATCAGTGGTGAGATGGACTGCTGGACTTATATATCTAAAGGCCTTGCTCAAGTGGGCCAGAAGGAGATTGTTTTCACCATTCGGCGTAGAGCTGGTGAACGAGAGGATCACCTACCAATCGCCCCCTTCCAATGGATGAAATTCGTTTACTCTGCGGCCAAGGATGGACAGAGAGTCGAGGAATTTCAACGCACGGAGTTTCATTCTCCGTCGTTTCTCGATAGGTCCGATTTCCAGTGGATCGTTTACTGCCCGGCACACCCCATCACCAATATCCCGGCTTCGTATTTCCCCACCGAGTGGCTCCAGGTTATCCCTCTTATCGCCCCTGAGGCAGAAGTTGCCCAAAAGTATGGGATTATGAGAGCCCTTGGACATCTAGGTGCCCAGGAACGGTGGTTCCCTTTTCCTCCATGGATAAATCGTGATCGCCAACCATGCATCACTATGGCGAGCATGGCGGGAAGTGTGAAAGATTCAATACCGCTTGTTGTCGTCAGGGGCATCAGCGCGTTGAAGAGAGGCATGGAGATTGTCCTCCATGTTCCACGGGAATCTGCTTTTCATCTTAAACACGCATTGACACAATTTCAACTCGAGCACGTATTCGCGCTAGATTCGTACCATTACAAAGACGCAGACTCTGGGTTACTTTGGAGCAATACCGATGTGCAACCCAGAGGATATGCAGCGGGCACATCGAATACCTGTATGAATCTGAATTATTTCACATTTTGTCCCTGTCAGGAGAAGAACGAACTTAAAATGGTAGAAGACGGTTTCATATGTAAGCTCCTCCAAGCCCTAAATTTTTCCTACCAAGCACTGGCATGCGCAAAATATGTTCTTTTAACCAGCCGTCAAGCTAACTCCTAAACCGCCATGACAAGTCATGATAACAAACTATACATGGGCGAGCCTGCGCCAGTACATTGACCAGTCAACATCGACTAGCATCGCTCTCCCATCAGGGCTACATTTCATTCTAGAGTTTGAGCAGTCACCATCGGCTCAAAGAGCTGCCCCTTCCCCGGGCCCTCTAGCAACCATGCCACCACCCACCACCTCGCGACCAGGCACGAGGTTTGTCGAATATACCCCCGAGAACCCGGTCCCTGAATCCCAAAAGCCATACCACGTCCATTGTGACCACATCGTTCTACTCGACAATAACGTAACGGCAGCAGGGGATCTGGATAAACTGACTAATTATATTAAATCGATCGAGAAAGTTTTGGACGCAACCGTCCCTAAAACTATCCCGCCCAGTGCCATTGGAGGAGGGAAACTGCTCATCGAGGCTGATGTTGGGGGTCCTGATAGAGATGACCTCCTTAGTCGTGAATGGGTCAAAGTCAGCTTCTCCCCGCCACCTCTGGAGGCTTTACCTATGCCTCAGATATATTACGGAGTCTCGCGCGTACCGAAGCCGGATATTGTGCCGAGGACTAAATTCTCCTTGGCGTTCAATGTTTGGGGTTTCAGGGGACCATGGTCTTAGATGTGAAACTGTTTACCACCCAAAGTCGCTTTGTTAATCTTTTTTAGCTGTCTCTATATATGTATCTAAAATACTCTTCCCCTTTCTACATTGCTACGAGGATGGTCTTTGTTGTTATTAAATTGCCCATGACCACATCTGTTCTTGCTTCTACGATTTTTTTAAATTATGATTAGCATTCGTTTGTATGTGATAGTTTTTAATATATGAGGTACTGACGTAATGACTATGTTTCCAGCTTGTTAAAAATGGGGAGGAATGTTGTCCAATTTCTCCTTTCTAATTTCATTTACTAGCTAGTACCCAAAACTCTCAATTCAAGATATATTATCCAAATATATCTCTGTCCGTTGCTTCCATGCCTAGCTACTATCCCAACTCCAGACTGCACCCGCCTCCATATATTGACCCAGCCGGCTGAGGTCAACATGGCCATCTCTATAACAAATAGAAAAGAAAAGAGGGAAGAGCGTCTACAGTATCGAACCGCCAAGACAGGCAAGCCACACAATGGCCAATCTCAAAATTCAAATTCAAATTCAATTCAAGAAGGCGAGTCATAACTTGGCTTTTGATCATTACAGCTTATTTTCGTCGGCCACTCGGAACAACAGACATACATTCGTTTTCGAGATCAGCATAAAAGCCTGGGCGGTTGCTGTTAAATCCTAGAAATCCTTCTTCTGCAACAACTTATATCGCTTTGCACAGCCAGCGGCGACACTTAAGATCTACAACGGGAACAGTTCTGATTTTGTCTGCGAATCGCTAATGAATTGCTCTGTCAAGGGGCCTGAGCGACGATATTTTGATCAAGGCCCGCAATGTGTTAGAGTTCAGTAGGTGTGAATGGTGATATGCATGGAATGCATAAGGTCCTCCACAGTTGGTGTTGTGGTAGAGCATTCCAGTTCTCGGGTTTGTAGCAACAACGAGGGCCCAATGAAAGTCTTTGAAATTCGCCATTTCAAACACGGCGATGTAGACTCCCCCTATCTCGAGACTGATATGTTGGTTACCGGCCACAGCGCCCCGAGCTACATCTGAGTCGGAGGGTAGTTCAAAGGCGCCAGCATCGGAAGAATTTGGCGGCTTTTCGCCCGATAAAGGCTAGCCATATTTTTTGTTCAGATGAAGGCTTGGAAGAAGATCGCCCGAGCATCGCGGTGTATAGCGGTTCGAGTAATTAGCCAATCGAGCAGGATATAGATATTTCAAACAAGCATAACGAGCAGGGGGTCAAATCAGAAAATTAGGGATGGGCAAGGTCTTCGAAAGCTTGTACTGGAAGCTGTTTATATTAAGGAAGGAAAGAGGTCAGAGTCGAATTAGAATTGGGCTGTTTCTTAAAGCCCGCATAGGACATGGAATAAGAAGTAGAGAGATTCGTCTCTTAGATAGAAATCCAGAATTCTCAACCCTATGATCAGAAATCGACCACTCGAAAAAGCTAACACAGGGTCGAGCAAACAGTGTATGGGAACTTAAAACCAACTGGATTTCAGGGTCAGCTTCAACGCTGTAGTTAAGGATACACTCGAAGTGGCATCACCACTAGCAGGGTTAAACGCCATTCCAAGACAACACCCAACAGCTATCCCACAACCAGGTCGAAGAAAACATTTCCAATGGCTCAGCGATATGAATGATAATTTGCTGCGCATTGAAGGATATTTTCAAAGCATTGGATAGCACTTGTCAGTCAATGGCTCTCGCAGGGTGATTGGTTGCCCAACGTGGCCGGAGGACGTGAACATGGTAAAAAGGTTTGTATTGGCTACAAAACAAAGTAGGAAACCCTCTCAAACCTTTCCAAGCTTAGAGGGCATTTCCAGTTGTTGTGTGATATACTCCGTAGAGTCTGTAAGTTACTATTTGATAAAGAAGAGGTTGGCACAGGCTAGTTACCTATTACGGACTAGCGCACCGCACACATCACCCTTTAGCGTACGGGGACCCTGCGAAAAGTTTTGTCTTACACTAAGAATTTATCCTGAAATATGATTACTAGTGTATTGAATCTCCAGGCCACAACCACCTGAGATTTAGGCAGTGAGCTAGTGAGTAAGCTAGGGGCATCGCTTTCTAGAAGCCCCCCTGAGAACTCCCTATCTTTTAATTAAGGGATGGAATGACAATACTTAATGTTAGTATCAGCATTTCAGTTTAAAACTTTTCGCAGGAGCCTCTGTAGTGTATGGTAGTTTAAATAAGATGTTATCATGAATCAGTTAGAGTCATACTGAGCTATTTTTTCTGAAGTTTGAATCATAGTTAATAGGAAAAGTCACATGCTTTGCATGGTGTCATCTTCTTGTAACTTCAGTGATGAAGTGACACATCATATTCATTTGCAAAGAATTTGTTGGGGGTCCCCGGTTGATCGGCCCTTCTACCAGCAGTGCGCTGGTGGTGACTGAGCTCTTTTGCCCCAGTAGCCTACAGAATTAAACTCAATTCACACTTCATATTAGTCATATACATACTTAGCATTTGCTTTCATCCTTGAAAACATGAAGTCCATGGGTGTGGAGGGGTTCCAAGGTGCATATCTGACAACAACAGACATCATATTATCTGCCAAACTAACAGCTTTTGAACATATGGTATGCTCCTGCTGTTTCAGGTCAATATGTACATGACCGGATATCCCAGAATGTACCGTGGAAGAGACATTGCGGTCTATCTGGAAAGACTTGAAGACTCTGGTGCTGAAATGTAAGCTGAGTGCAGTTTTTACAACCTGATTATATACCATCTGCAATGTTAACATATCTTTTGACAGGCGGTCATGATTACCATGTCCCCGTGAATGTTCAGGCCGCCCTTAATGAACGCGATGGCCCCCAATGTTGTTAAACCCACATATTGTGTTTCTCCATATATTTTGCATGACCCTGGTATTGAAGATGGGGTAATTACTTCTTCCGGCCTTCCATACGCACACGCATACACACATATATATATATATGTATGAGGGCTTCCCAAGGACACTTCTTAACATTCCTTTACTCCAGGCACCGTTACGGCTACTCTTAGCAGCCATCCTAACCAAAGAGGGCGTTGAAGAGCTGTTCGCTCTTCTTGGATCTTCCAGTGTGGAGGATCAGCTTAAAAACCTTTGGCTGATGGGACCATCAGCGCGTAATGCTTTCCACCGGGGGCAGATTTACATTTTCAAGTTGTTGTGTCTCGAAAGTGACAATGGCATCCGGTCGACTCGGAACAATAACGGGGTAAGCTCTCCTTTAACGGACTCTCAAAAACTTTTAGGTCTTAAATATTCACACCAGGCTTTAGTGGGAAGTTAGAGTTAATGATCCCCAAGAATATAAACTTGGAAAGACGTTCCCCGGTTCTATAAAACACCTTTAACATGTAGGCTACTGGGGCAAAAGAGCTCGATCACCACCAGCGCACTGCTGGTAGAAGGGCCGACCAACCGCGGGACCCCCAACACCCCCCCTCGGACCAGCTACCACAGAGTACAGTACTTCCCCTCAGTGGCTCCCTTCAGTGGCCTCCCCACAATGGCTCCTTTTTAATAGTGGACTCAGTCAGTCCTAGGGCTCACGGGACTTCTAGGGCACACTCCTGGGATGTCTCTTGACACTGTTAAAATGTCCAGGGTATTTGTTAGGAATTTTTAAGTCCATTCTGGGATCAAACCCATGCATGTTGACCACAGCGGGGCTCACGCTTAACGGTCTCATAACCTGTAGGCTACTGGGGCAAAAGAGCTCGATCACCACCAGCGCACTGCTGGTAGAAGGGCCGACCAACCGCGGGACCCCCAACATAACAAAGGATCCCAAGAGTCATCCCCTACCAACTGTATTGCTCTTAAACTTTCACCGTCGAATTTTTGTGAATTTACACATGCACATAGTAGAACACGGCGTGCAAAGGGGATGGGCACCACTCAAGCAAGGTATAGTGTATCTAAATAGTTGGTTAATCCTTCCGCTAACTGTCTCGCAAAGGTTGGGCTATTGGGTCCGTGGGAATCTTCTTCCTCCGAAATTTCCTATCTATTCTACCTAAATTTGTTCGACTAGCACTTTACAATTTCATCGACCGGCAATTAGATTCCCGAGACCCCACACAAACAGATCAACCAGTAAAGTACCTCCCACTCGGTCTTTGTCTTAAGAGAGGCCGTCGGTATACTGAAAACGAAGCAATTTCACTGCGCCTTGTTGAAAAGACTCCCCAATAATAAACGCACCAAAACTGATCGATCATGTCAGAATCGACGAATCCTCTGGTTTCGTTCTAATGACACAAGTCTACGGACATGCTCTTAACCAAGTCTACTATCGAATAACGCACGAGGAACTTGAACAGATAGCAAAAGACTTGGCGCGGTGGATAACGGAGCTGCGCAAAATCCCTAACAAATCGAAGCACCTCATTGCAAATGCATCTGGAGGCCCAATCTGCGACCACATGTACGAAGGCCGCACACTAGGCCCTTTGAACTCAACGGCAGAATTCGCCGACGATCTCACTCAATTCCTCTTTCAGCCCGAGCAGCATAAACATCAGCCGCCCATTGCCACGCTATACGAGAAGAAGTAATGTTTGTTTCACCCACAGCGATTTGCACATGACAAACATCATTATTAGGGATGGACGTCTGTTTGGACTGATTGATTGGGAAAATTCCGGCTTCAAGCCAGAGTATTGGGAGTTCGTTCGAGCCATGTGGCCTTGTGGGGGTGATAAACATGACACGGCTATCTACCGTCAAGCTTTTGGGGACAAGTATGACGATGAGTGGGAAGCGCTGGCGGGTCTTCTCCACAACAGTCCCTTTATTTTTGGATGGTAGATACCCCTTTATATACATGCCCTTTCATTTTATTTTATTTTTGGCTTTCGGGGATTTTTCCTTGTACGAGGGTGCCGAGTATATCGGGCAATTTGACGGCTCACAACCTCCTTTAGCTTTTTCATCAGTGGAGCCTGGAGCTTATGGACTTCAGCACAGCATTAATTATTACTATGACGGGGTGGAATCGATCTTTATTTTCAGGATGTATTGCGAAATGAGGAATGATACTTGCCAATCTCGACTTGAAAAGTTGATTATATATTACAGCCAGCAGCACTACCGCAATCGTGCTTTTGACAACGTGCGTCTCGCTGTTAACGTTACCAGTAGTATTTTATTCCCCAGTCCCCAAGCAAGCTGATGACAAACTCAAATAAGATAGTTCTATACGCAAGGGTAGAGTATTATATCCAGCGGGTTTCAGGTGTCATTGTGAATAAATAATATGTAGTTAACTCAGAGCCTAGAGGATTTTCCCAGCCCCTAACAGCATCAGGTTCCTTGCACACAAAACCGCCGAGTTCACGCATAAGTTACATATATGGAGTACAAAATGCGAGGAAACAAGGAGGTTCATCCACAATAATCGGCCACTTTGCATTTCTCAAGACGGGGATTTTATTTTTAATAAAACACAGGTGATGATCAATAATAGTAAAGGATAAATAAATAAAAAATGGGCCTGGATCACACCTAATTAATAATAAGCTGAGTAATTCAGTAGTTAAAAGTTAGGAAACTGCAACAGCAATCAATATGAATATGATGAGAAAAGTTCCCGAGGGCAGGGCTCCCGGGCGGGTAAGTCGCAATAAGAGAATACCCGGACAGCGAGCGGAGTGGTGGGTGATGGGACCTTTTTCTATCTATCAATGTCGATCTGAGCGTTAATTTAACGTATTTGTACTCCGTACGGAGTATGGAGTTAGTTATATATTTTAATAATTAATTACATTATTCACCCAGTTCAAGCAAGCTGATGTTCCAAGTATTATGTATGTATGGGTGCTGATAATTGAGATGTGCCAGCAAAAAATCTACATCTTGCGCCTCAATTCAATGCCAGGTTTAATGAATTCACATATCTACAGAGTGAGTACTGAGCATGGGTATTAGTTATCCGTATTGCCCTGCCCCGTTTACGGACGGGCCCATATCAAGGCTATGGATAGGGCCCTGAATTTTCTTCAATACGAAATTATCCCAGGCACCTTATGTGCAAATACCTATCTGTCAGGTCAGGCCAACCGCGAAGAAGAAGAAAAACTATCCCAGGGCGCAATTTTAAACGCTCTCGGCCATTACACAGTAGTCATCATAGCCTGACAGCATGTCAGGCGTTGTACGGAGCAGATGATTCCACTTTCACCCGCTTTAAAGAAACAAGCGCTTCGAACTCACTCCCTGAAAGTATCGAGAAGAACCATCTAATGTTTGCCTCTGGAGCTTGGAAACGCCAAGGGACAAGGGCGCCTTGCCTTCTCTTATGTGACTTTGGGACCCCAGCTAGTATAGGCATAGAGCTCATGGATCAACTCATGCAGAGGAACCAAAAGTTAATTGTTTTGCAGCTAGCTCCCCTGCTCACCCATTCTTGCGCAAATTGGAGATCAAATAGGCATATCTGGGCGGCTTTCCGAAATTTAGCTACCCACCCCCATCCAGCTTGATATTCTGAGCCACATAACCTTGAGATTATGGGTGCAGATCTCGCTCATGGACCGTGAGAAAGAGCAAGCGCCCTGGATGTGAAGTGTGTTGCAATCGTGAGCCAGAACCAACGGCCGCTCCACCAGAGCAACCCGGTCGTTTTGCACCACCAACATACAGTGTACTTTTTGCCTGAGGTCTTTCTTTGACTGACCGCAAGGGAAATTATTCCCGAGGCTTGGCTTGGGAGGACCAGGGGGGTTGAGAGGGACGGTATGTTTGTAACAACTTTTCTCATCACCAAATTTTATTGGGGGGGTGGATGATGCGTTGTTAATATGATATGGAATGATAAATGTGGTACAGAGTGTCAGTTTGGAATGCTAGGCTGCCGCCACTCCACTCCATCACCCACACAGTTGCGTTTACGATCGTGGTTGCAGCTGTTGCCTCGTGGCTCGCGGGTATTCATGAAACTGGGTGCGATTGATTAATGGGGTAACGTATAGGTTAATGTACGAGCAGTTTTCTGAAAACCCCTCTGGCGTAGCGCACTGCTCTCAAACAAAGACATGTACGGAGTCGTGTAAGAGGGTGGATGGGATGGGTATGACCAAAATTTCAAGGAACAAGGAACTTCCACAAACTCTGTATGGTCTAGGAGGAGGTGGGGGAGAAGAAACACGACCAGTGGCAAAGCTTGTGGCACATCGAAGCTTTTCCTGTGTTCTGTTATTGTGTGAGAATGGCTGCTTTTTCTCATGTTTTGTTTTTGGTTTGTTTGGGGGGAGGAGGGAGGGTAGAAGAAAAAGTTCCCATTGTCCTTGAATAACAGGCAAATTTTTGAGGTGGATAAAGGGAAAAGTTTTAAGGCAAACCTGAGTGGTTCATGAGAGGGTGAGAGGTTGATAATGATAAATATAGCAAAAAATAATTAATTGGAGGGAGAGATGAGCTGGGCAAATGAGCACTTATTGTCAATTGATGAAACTAAAATAATAAAGCAGTCAACAGGGAAAAAAAAAACACTGCAAGAGGACAATCAAAAGTATCTAAGATCTCTTTTGTCTCTTGTGAATCTGGTTGCCTCAGAAGTGATCCATGCTGTTTTACTTTCCCTATTTTGTTTTTTTATGATAACTAAAGTTTGCTTTCCATTGTCCACTTGCTTCTCTATTTTTATAACTATTCTTATTATAACTATTCTTATCATAAGTCTCGATTGCATATGATATGTGACTAGTTGTACGGAGAATATCAACGTGAGATGTAGAGTGTCTCAGGCTCGGCATGCCCTGAGTGACACGCCGGGGATGAGTCGTCGAGGAGGGCACATTTATATACGCTGTAGAGATTATCAGGGCTATTCCAAATTCCACGCTTCTGTTGTCACCGAGAGTCTACATTTTAGCCATTGAGCCAGTGAGCTCCTATCTTCTTTCTTATTACAGGGACAAGGCTGATGTTTCAGAGGGTCCGTTTTGTTTGCCCCTACATACCATACAAGGCCCGAGGCAAGTGGATAGAGAGAATGGAAAGCTCTCCCTAAGCAGGCAAAAGGGGACCATGGTCCATCTTGGTTATTAGAGTGCTTTGTTTGTTCTTGCGTAAATAACTTAACTATACTAATTGATTCAACCGTTCATCCATTCCATCCATTATTAGCTATATTCTTTCAATTATTTCCCAGGAAGCAAGCATGAGAAGGTCATAGTACCGTACCAGCCAGCGGTAATGACAATACCTGTTCCGGGAGTGTATTTTTCCTCCCAAGGCGTACGCAGTACTGTACTTACGCCGCGTACGGAGTAGGTATCCAAACACTGGCTCTCCACAAGTCCTTGGGCCAATCAAAAAGCCAGGCTGTGGTCATTCCAGGGTTCCGCCCAAGGCCCAGATCTTCTTGATCTCCCTCGAGGTACTGTATGTACTGTACATAGAGCACCCCTTTGAGGGAGGGAAACCAGTCAGGAACATGATAGGGAATATTCCCCCTCCACTTCCTACTCCTCGTCCTCCCCCCCTAGCCTGAGCCACAATGGCATATGTAGCATGACTTGTCAGCCCAAGAAGAAGAAGAAGAAGAAGAAGAAGAAGAAGAAGAATAGTAATATTAATACACGTACGGTCATCGTCATCACCAGGAGGAGTCTGGAGCCAGCACGTTTTGGACCGGCGGCGGATCAAGCCCCCAAGCCGCCCGCGCACCATCGCTGGAAACGGCTAGACAGTGCCCAGGCCCGGGTTGCCAGTGTCAGCCAAGAGCCCCAACCTGCGGTGGGCCAAGCCAAGGCGAGGACTTCCAAGGCCACACCTAGGTATTTTTATTATTGTCACGTACGGACCGTCTTGTCACCGTACCGCCCGTTCAACCTTCCCTTCCTCACCTCAACCTCACCTCACCCTCACCACAACCTCCAACCTCTTTCCATCACAACACACACACACACACACACACTCTCTCTCTCTCTCTCTCTATATTTCCCATCCCTCTCTATCCTTCTCTCCCTCCTCTCTCTCTCTCTCACCCTCTCTGACTTTTGTTTCCTGTCGTTGAGAGGTTCCTCCCGTTTCTTCTTCCTGATAATCTCTCAGACTGCGGCTTTCTCCCTCTTTCCCTCCCTCTCGGCTTCAACCCGACCCTCCTCAATCGCCGCTTCACATGGGTGAATCTCCACCCAGCTCCCGTCTTTCCTCCCATCAATAACTGGCCATGATATTCGTGCACCTCCTTCCACTCACCGGTCGGCTCTCGATCCCCTCTCTCCTTTTCGTCACCGCTCGATTCGACCCCAGCTCTAGCTTGTTCTGATGACGGAACTTTGCTCGATTGCCACGAACCTATTACTGACTCCCTTACCCGTCCACCCGGGCTCGACTGGCACCCATTCTATTCGAATTCACGATATCTCCGGCCTCCCATCGCTGTCAATCCCTTTCCCAAGATGGCGTCTCTCATAATTCCAGAGGGTGGCATATGCCTTCGGAGAGCAGACACACCTGGGGACGCCTCCTCTCCCGACCCCTCTAGCAAACCAAGCCAGATAATGCGGCTGAATCTGGCCCAGACCACCCTCGACGAACTCGTCCAGAGTCTGCGTAACGATCAAAAGGCCCGTATCCGTCTGGGAAAACACCAATCGCTCCACTACGGGAACAAGTCTCAGACCTTCTTCTCGTCGCCTGAAAGTCACCGTTCAGAAATTTACTGCTACTCTCCTTCATCTTCTTCGTCTTCTACAGCCAACAATGCTTATTTTACTGGCGTGCTCAGCCATAAACTGGAGGTGGAGAAAGCTCGTGAGGATACTGCTGCTACGGATGAAGCATTGGCCAATCTGGAGCAAAGACTGAGTGCTTTTGAGAAAGGGAAAGAATCTAGAAAAACACCCATGATCACAACAATTGACCAAATGAGGGCTCTAGGTGCCGGGGACAACCGCAGCGCAACCGGGAAGGAAGCGGCTTCATTGGCCCGCATGCCAAGAAGTAAGATTGATGTGGAAAAGGAGCGCTTTTTTCAGCATGCTGCCAATCGATCGAATTCCGCTAGCCCGGGCCTTCTTGGTGCACGTTCGCCAGCTGCTGCCACTCCTATGGCGCCTCCTAAATCAGCCTCTCTTCCCCAAAACAAAGACAAAATACGCCTCGAAGCTCTCCGTGTTCCCTTGACCCATCTGCTTGCTGTCCGCCCAGTTTCTGTCAGATTTTTAGCGCAAAAAACTAGATCGTCCCAGGAGGACTGTTTGGCCCTCGTACAGAAATATGGTGTCGAGAATAGATTAAATCGGGAAAAGTATGGCCTAAAAGACAAGGCGTACAAGGATCTTGATATCTGGGGGTTTCCGTACCCTTCGGAGGATGAGCGGCAGGAGGCTATCGAGAACGCCATTTCGGCCTTTGACCGAATGCGGATTTCACGCGCGGATAAGCTTTGGCAGATGCTGCTTCCAAAGGCTGAGAGGGGAAAGGGTAAAGTGTTATCTCGATTAAACCTACATACCGGCCCGATAGCCAAAAGCACCACCTCTCGAGTTAACGCTCAATCCTCTGAAGATGTATCGAAAGAAGGATATGGAACCGGCAATGAATCAGATCGGACGACCGGTGCTATAACCCCGAACCAGCAGAATGGTAATATTTCTGCGCGGTCAGGAAGTACAGCACAAAAGAAGGAGCCCGCAAATAAGAATGGGAATGCAAAACGTGCAGGCGCTAGAGCAAAAAATACTACATTGACGGGGAGAGTAACGAAGAAGACTGATAAGAAGACAGAGAAAAAATCTGCAGCGAAACCAGTTACAAAGTACAAATCTGCGGAGTTTGTACATGATTCAGATGAAGATACGGAAATGGCTGATTCCCCACCTCTGGGATCGTCCACGGCCCCCACGAGCGATACGGTAGCGAAGCAGAACCAGGCAGCAAGAGTCAACAAAACGTCCGTGAAGAGCTTTCCACCTTCAACGTCCACTACACCCAAGCCGGCCGAAGCAGAAAAGCCAGCCAAAGCGAAGTCTCAGTCCATGAAAACGATTCCCTCTGCTACAGCAACTACTCGTACAGCCAGCAACAGTTCTCCACAAAAACCTTCTCCACTTGGCTCATCGCCTCCCACGAATGCATCCGAGCTAGAAAGCGGAAGGCGATCCTCCAATACCACGCAGTCGTCCAGCTCGTCCTCTCCTCTTATGGTTCAACATTCCAGAGCGAAGGCCGCCTCTACTGTTTCTGGTATCCAGGCACCAAGTGCGGTAAATCGTGACCCAAAGCCAGCCTCAAGTACCCTGAAGCGCAAAGCCGAGACGGACCAACCGCCCTCACACCATCAAAATCATGAGCCAAACGGGATACGGCATCCAAAGCCCCGCCCCCATCCGCTTCAAACTCCTGCGACAAATGGCCGCTTCATGGAGCCGAAACGGCGCCGCCTCTCCAGCCCATCCAGCGGCAGCACTACAGGCAGCGCCTCACCGCCACGGAGCCTAGAGATACTCCGCCAACGGCTACGCGACAAAGCACTACAATTCAAGCGGTATTATGCCTCATATCGACTTCTACACCAGGAGATGACCAGCCATCCAGACCCACCGCCGAGCGAGATTGAGAAACTGGAGCGGCAGCATGAGCGGTTGCAGAAGATGAAGCAGGAGATTTGGGAAGAGGATCGGCGCTTGAGAACTGGATAACGAGCTTATTTGCTTAAAAGAATTTGTGCTTTTTATCGAATATCACACTCCTATATTTTTATTCGGTAAGCATTATCAATCATGAGGTGGCGCGGGCCCCGCGGTACGAATATCCTCTTGTTACTGCGGAGTGGCCATGCTTATTTATGTTCATTTATTGTTATCCTGTTTTGGCTAATTGGGATTTTCTGGCTACCCTTTTTATTTTATTTTTTCTCCCGCGTAATATTCCTACACATACTGGCTAATATTAATATATATATATATGCCTTGGGTTCGTTTATGAGGAATGGCGTATCTATCTCATTTCTTTCTGTTTTTGGCATGTCAATTGGGAATGTATGTATGGGAATTAAATATTTTTGATTTTACTTATATAGCCAGGAAGGGTATTATATATTTGGCCATATATTTGATTCTTTTATCTACAAAGCATGTATGTAACATTTGTGCTGCATCTCTCAGAAGGTGCCCAAACAATATAGGAACCTGGTATTGAATGGTGTCATCCAATAAACAATCCTCCTTCCTCAGCATTTCTACAGTTTGCCTGGCCCCAATTACATACATACAGCATACACTATTTACTCCAGCAATTCTAGCAATTCTGATAATGTATCCTCCCTCCTGCCCACTGCTACAGTATCAGCGTGCTACCGTTTATGTGCATCCACTTTCCCTCCCGATGAGGTTGTTCTGTGTCACCCAAGCCCAAGCCCCCCCCAGCCCGGCCCAACCCGCTGCCCGCGCCAATTCGCAAAGTAACGTAACAGGGTATATATACGGTACCAAGTGGGTGTTCGTTAAAATACGTTCGGGTGGTGCCGTTGTCAATACGGTAAGTAGATACAGCGGGGCACCACCTGAGTAGAGTAGGTAGAGTAGGTAGTTGTAGGCTACTGGGGCAAAAGAGCTCAATCACCACCAGCGCCTGCTGGTAGAAGGGCCGACCAACCGCGGGACCCCCAACACCCCCCCTCGGACCAGCTACCACAGAGTACAGTACTTCCTCTCAGTGGCTCCTCTCAGTGGCTCCTCTTAGTGGCTCCTCTCAGTGAACTCACTCCTAGGGCTCATTCTTTCAAGGGCTCACTCCTAGGGCACACTCCTAGGATGTCTCTTGGCACTGTTAAAATGTCCAGGGTATTTGTTAGGAATTTTTAAGTCCATTCTGGGATCGAACCCATGCATGTTGACCACAGCGGGGCTCACGCTCAACGGTCTCATAACCTGTAGGCTACTGGGGCAAAAGAGCTCAATCACCACCAGCGCCTGCTGGTAGAAGGGCCGACCAACCGCGGGACCCCCAACAGTAGTTAGGGTGGCCCAGCACACTCAGCACACCAAAAACACCACACCACGCACCATGTAATAAAACCCAGCTACTACTGCATGCATGGCTACGTCATTTACACCTCTCGTCTCGTCTCGTTGCACGGGAGGAGATGAGCTGAGATTGGGGGGGAGGAAGGGTCGGGGGGAAGAGTAAACTATCATGCTATAATATTGTTAACGACAATTACTTTTGCGATAACTAGTTAGTTAAAGTTGCTGGTGAGTCGGGGGAGAACTTCTGAGGTTCCACAGCTTGGTTTTAGGTTCCTGCGGACCGGCCGACCGACCAGATATGATCGATACTTATGAACCTAGATAGAACATCCGCCCATGGTGGATCTAACCTATATATACATGTATGTACATGTATGTACTGTACATTCATCCGGTCCATATAATAGGTTGGGTGTTGGGCAACAGGGCTTCCCTGGTAGACCCGGGCGGGCGTTCAGAGAGAGCTAGCTCTACGCTGCGTATATTCCTTGTCAGTGTCCCTGTATCTTGGTTTTTTGGATTGGTAACTTATCAAGCCCAAGGCTAGGCAAAGGTTCATGATTCATATGGATCAAAGCTGTACAGACAGGCCCTTGTTAGTCTATGGAACTTCCCCAACAAAAAATAGATGCGGCACATCCCACATCCCACGGATAATAGAATGATATTGGTAGATAGTCTGTAGTTCTTCCAATGATGATGATGATGATGATGATTCTTTGCTGTCTTATCTTGGGAGTCATTGGTGGAGATTTGTTATGTGTAGCAGAACATTTGAAGTTGTACGGAGCATCTGTTTTAATTCCATGCCTGCTGCTTGCTGCTGCTGCTGGCCCTACCCTACCAGTGGACCGCTAAGCTTGCCAGGGAGGGTTAATATGCATTCCTTTCCCCCGGGCTCTCACTAGTAGGGAGCTGTTTTACGCTGTACATATAACTATGTTTCTTCATCACGACGTTTGCTTTGCGCGGGGGGTAGGGATTTATATCTCCGAAGAGATGGAAAGGAAAAGTTCGCCCGTGTGTTTGCTCTAATGAGGGTTTGCTATAACTAGTTGGAGTGGGTCAAATGAAGAGAGGAAGAGAGAGAAAGCGAGAGAAAGCGAGCGATGGCTGTGAAACGAAGTTGGTGTAACTAATCAATCATTTGCAGGTGGGTTTGAGATCTAATCCCGATTTGCTCTGTCTGGTGCTCGTCACCAGACACGGGGATTTTGTCTTTTTTCTTTTCTTTTCTTTCTTTTTTTCTTTCCTTTTCTTTTCTTTTCCTCTTCTTTTTTTTTTCTCCCTTTCAAAGCACCCATGCTTGCGTATATGTACATGTATATTTCCCTCATAACATGAAGGGTAAATAGTATTTGTTTGCTATGGTATAGGAGTAACGATTAAACGATTCTATATCCTTCAAGCATCGAAGTAACTTTTAGAGATATTCGGGACTAACCGTCTTCGGCCTAGCGCCAATGCTCGGCATCCATGTCTAAAGAGCGTCATCAATGAAGTTGATTTTGATTGCGCCTTTAAGACACCAAGATCCAGGCCAGAGTCGAAATAAGACAAAAGCACAGTATTTGAAAGCTGAGAGGTATTCGACATTAACTTTGAGCTACTTACCGAAAATCGTTGGTTGGTTCCCTTCCTGAATTGGGTAACTTGCTTGAACGTTCCATCTTCCACACCCCTCCCGTTTGCAAGCCACCCCCTTGGACCTCTACAACAGCATGTCAATTTGGAGTACAGAGTAGCTGGAGTCAGCAATCTACGGACTGAAGAAGGAACAAGAGGGTAAAAAAAGAGGTGCTTTTTCGATAACGGCTCCCAAGTCTCCCCCTCTATCGGTTATCCCGCTTCGATTCTACTACGGCGAGCGGAACGTTAGGTTGATCTATCAGTCTAGGTGTTAGGGTTTGTTGTATGTCTGGGACTCCTTAGAGAGGGACATATATACTAGGTGCATACATCTTCGTGGACGGAATAGGACCATTCAACCACCATGTCTTACAAAGGTGGAGGAGCTAGCGGGAGCGGGAAGGGGAAAAGGGAACGCGGCCCTACAGTGCTGGTGAGTTATCTGGCTATTACGTTTCTCCCTTGGCTATAACTACCTAGGTACCTAATTGGCATTGCTTGACCTTGTGGACTGTCAATTCCATCCTGGCAGCTTATAAGAGAGACAGACAGAAGATTAACGAATGCGTTCTACGATAGGTCACGGACTCCCGCGACCCGGCATACAACCCCGGACGTGGCGACTCTCAAAATAACGCTTCCTCCCGCTTCATAACTGTCGATAACATTCTCCAGTACACATCTGATGTCCCTTCAATGCAACAGCGACAACCGCCCCCCGGTTTCCGAGCGCGACCTCGCTCGAGGTCGGGGGTGCTAGCAAGTGCCGCGGCATCAACTGATCTTAGGGGGTCCAGTAGCATGGACCCGAGGTTGAGAGCGGTGGGCAGACTGGCAGCGTTGCAACATTTACCACCGCGATCAACTAAAGTCAGTGAGAAATTGGTGTTGCTTCCGGAAACAGTGACCGAGGAAGGAGAGACTGGGGAAGAGGAAGAGGAAGAGCGAGACGAAGGGTATGAAGGATTCGATGGTGCTGTAGATGAAGAACGTGGGCCACGGATACCGGCATCTGCAGCTGAAAGAGCCCGTCGGATTGCTGCTAGTAAAAAACAAAAAGTCCACAAAGCGCTCGGAGATTTCGATCAGGATAACGAAGCTTCGCCACTTCTAGCGGAGGAGGAGCGTCTGAAACGGCGTCGTGTTCCTCCTGAGAGAGCGAAGAGTTATGCGGAACGTTTGTCCAAGGCTCATCGTGCAAAGAAGCTCCCCCGTGTTACGGCCTATTGCACAGCGCAGGGCTACAAGATTAGTTCCACTGCTGCATTTGTGAAAGAGTATCATGGCTCGAGGACGAAATTGTATGATGACTGCCTGTATACCGCGTATCATTTGCCCCTGTTGCCTGGGAAGGGGGGTTATAGGATTCGGAGTAGCCCGATTCTGAAAAGTGCGGGCGGCAAAGCTGTTCTAGATGAGGAGATCGAGAGGAACGAGCGGAGGGATTACCATGATGAATACTATGCGGAGGAAGATGAACATTCCGTCAAAGCTCATGGGTTTGACGGTGCGGGATCCGAAGACCGGACAGCACAGCGCGAAAGCGACGGTGAGGGACGAGCGGAAACAAATGGTGTCACAGCCCATGAAGAGCAGGGACAACACAACCGCGCGGATAAGGATCGGAACGCAGCCAATCTACCCCCAGCAATTTCCGTAGCCAGGATCCCGCCCAATGCCTTGGCATTTGCAGAAATGTTCATCTTCAGCTATGGGGTTGTCGTCTTCTGGAACTTCACGGAAAGGGAAGAAAAGGATGTCCTAGCCGATCTCGCCTTCGCTTCGTCAGAAAGAGGGGGAGCCCCCATACCCCTAGCCACCGCGCCATTACCTGAGGAGGACTTTGAAACGGAGGAATTTCATTTCGAATACTCCGAGAAGATATCTCGACCCCGTGTGTACAACGACATGATAACGTTGCGCAGTGGAGGCCATATGATCAAGCTTGCCATTAGCCACGGGATAGCACAGAGCACGAAGCTGAGCTTCTTCGAGGAGGTGATGGCGAGGCAGATGGCTGAGGCGAAGGACGTGCCTCGAAGGCTGGCGCTGACGGGCCACCTAGGAATGAAAAGGGAGGAGGTATTTCGCATACTAGGGAAATTGTTTAGGAGTAGAGTTGAGGTGAATTTATGTAAGTTTGTTCCTGCCTTACTGCACGGTTCATGGATGGGTCGCACGTAATGGTCATTTTGAACGGAATATCTAACAAAAGGACCAACATCTCAATAGCGTCGAACATGCTTGACGTGCCTTCCTTTTTCTGGGATAGCGAACCTACTCTCCATCCCCTGTACATTGGCGTGCGGGAATACCTAGAAATCAAGCCTCGCATTCAAGTCCTGAACGAGCGGTGTAGAGTCTTCCTCGACTTGGCTGAAATCTTGTCGGATTCTATTGCGGATAGTCAAATGTCGCGTAAGTTCTTTGCCCTGGCAAAACCTCGTACCACTTTCACCCCATTTTTCAACAGCAGGTTGTCTTTCAATATGCATATGCTTAGAATATATCATCTTACAGGCCAAACATGGATCATCATCGTGCTCATCGGCATTTCGATCATCGTCACCATTTCGGAGGTTATCTTGCGCTTCGGTATGTTGTCTACACGCTCATCCACGACAGCCCAGCCTTCTCAGATGGTACACCAAGCATATGGCTACGGGCCTGCAAGCCTGTGCTAGCATCGTCGCCACCCAACATCAAATCTCGTTTGGCAAATTCAGCTCATCTAGAACGAGACGGCTATCGGTGGCTCCGTTTTGTTCTTTCAGCCCTACTTCAAAAGTAACTTCAGCTATGTGGCCAATATCCACTATCATACCCGAATAGCTGGAAGAGGGCCCTTGGTGGCTGTTTACTCCATACCAGAAAGCCTACCTACATCTGACATAACATGAGGGCGCTGGCAAAAGATTGCCCTCTAACAAATCCCATTTTGGGATCAGCCTTGTCGGAATTACCCGACATGCTACTCATCAGGGCGCAACATCCTACCTACCGGTTTTGTAGCAGACTTCAGCTATGCACCCTGTCGTTCCACGTGCATATTTTCCTGTATCTGACTTCAAAGTTGTCGGGTTACGATGTATGAATACCACGCAATATAGGAAGATATTTTCAAAATGCGAGCTAGATTTTATGCTTCGTATGTGTTATCTACCTATTTTCCTAAAGTTGAGAACATGCCCAGTTTCTTAATTGCTTTTTGAGTCTCATGGTTACTGGAATATTTGTTGGGGGAATCCAGCGCATATGTGAAAGAGCAATTATTAAAATCACAATTTTGATACAAGAAGCTTTTTCTATTTTTAATCTGCTTAACCCACTCTTTTATTACCCCGCGTTCTATTTCTGGCGCGGGCATAGCAAGCTTTTAACCTTATTTTAGGCGGCATTTTCTGGGCTGGGTCCAGCTCCAACATGGATTATCGGCGAATGGAGGCTACGAGAATCGCTCCAAACAAAAATTGCTCTAAGATCACACACTCCATCAGTGTTTACTATTATCACTGTTTTGCAAGGATGGTTGCTCCACCTGCTGCGAGCAATATAAAGATGGGCAGATCACCCCTCTTCTCCCTGTTTCGCGTTGCCCGAGACGTGTTTGATTGCCCATCCTTATAGCAACTACAGCCTCGAATATCTAGACAGAAAAATGGTCCCTGATGTCTTTCCATTGCCTGGCGTTGTCCACGGCAATCGCGTTGTAGCTACCATCATCGAGACCCGAGCGAAAGCCGGCGCCAACACGCAGCCCTGGGTCTCTGTCCCGATCGATGACAATGACATTTCCGCCGGGTACAGAGATGTCAGTTTCCAACAACTGAACAATGCGGCAAACCACGCAGCTCGATGGCTAAGTCAAGCTCTTCCAGCTACTTCGGAACCCTTTCAATATTTCGCCTACGCCGGCCCCAAGGATCTGCGGTATCCGTGCCTCGCAGTCGCAGCGGCAAAGCTTCAGAAAGTGGTATTTTGTTTTGAGAGAACATGTTTAGCAATCACTGGGAAAATATGTAGCAAAGATAACTAATTAAGAATACAGATGGTTCTTCCATCGCCGCTGCTCACACCGGGGGCTCAGCTGCGGGTTCAGGAAAAGACAAATTGTAAGCTATGCCTCCGGCCGTCGGAAATGGCTGGGCCAGCCAGTAATATTCTGCGAAACGCGCCTCATGTTGAACAAATTACGGCCTCTGGAATTGAGGAGTTTTTCCGGGATGATGAAGCAGACCCTATTGTTTATAGTAAGACATGGGATGAAGGAAAAGAGGATCCTTGGCTGGTGTTCCATACCTCGGGAACGACAGGTATATTTTATTTTTCGATGGTAGTTTTGTTTTGGGATGATCATAGACTAACAACAATATGTTCTTTAAGGACATCCAAAGCCGGTGACATATTCGCAACAGATGATGGCCACCCCCAATACCGCGGCTTCTCTGCCAGATTTTAAACCAAGCCAAATTCATCAATCGGCTCAAGCACGATACTACACACCTTTGCCCGCTCTGCATGTAAGTTATGTCTTCTGACCAGCTTTCCTTTCCAATATTTGGGTACTTACAGACGCAGTTCATAGGCATGTTCGTAACTCTTGGCCTGACTACTGGCCACCATACAACATGTGTAGTTGGGCCTCCCATTCCCCCAAACCCCAAACTGCTGATCAATATTATCCGCTACAGAAAGGTAGCTGGTGTCCTTCTGAACCCTGTGCTTATTGATGCACTTTGTCTCTCCCCAGAGGGCCTTCAAGCTCTCTGTGTGTTAAAGTTTGTCCATTACATCAGCGCATCCCTCTTTGCTAAATCAGGGAACATGATTTCCCCCTACACAAATCTGGTTACCTGCATCGGTAGAACAGAAGCAGGCGGGTATTATAATATCCTGCATGACAACAAAGACCTGTGGGAATGTCTCTTTCCAGAGGGACATCGGCGCAGAATTCCACCACCGCATGAAAGGCATCCACGAGCTCGTCTTCGTGCGCTGGCCGGAATTCCGGCTGCAGCCCATCTTCCAACTCTATCCGAACCTCCAAACCTTCGAGACAAATGATCTGTTTATCGAGCATCCAGAACACAAGGGGCTATGGAAGATCATCGGCCGCAAGGATGACTATGTCTATCTAGTGCATGGGGATGGAATCCACGCTGCCCTCCTGGAAGAAGAAATCGTCGCGCATCCGAGCGTCAAGGCAGCGGTTATTGGCGGCTTTGGACGTCCGGTCCCTGTTCTTCTGGTGGAGTTAGTCCCCGCTGCAGAGGCGGATGATGTTGATGCGCTGAAAAGGAGCCTCGAACCCTATATTGAGAAAGCCAATGTGCATTGTCATGACGTTGTGAAGCTTTCCTCTGAGCGACTGATCGTTGCCAAGAAAGAGAAACCGTTTGTCACGACACTTAAGGGAAATGCATTGAGGTTGCAGACTTTGGAGCTGTATGAGGAGGAAATACCAGCTCTGTTTGAATAGGGTCTCTGTCTTCTACCGGCTGATGTGTTTAGTTTAGCTGGGATAAATTACATATTTATAAGTATGATTATCCGCAAATTTGCAGCTATTTACAGAAGAAAGACAGCCTTGTGCTCCTTTTCAATTGGAATGGGGTGTGCCGGATACCTGGCAAAGTGTTTATAGATAGGAGGTTTCGAGTTCCTTGCCAAATAGTTCATGATTATTGAATTATACCGGTGAGAGAGTTAAATTCCACTGGTTGATTATTACAACGATGGTTTGCTATATACTTTGTATACCCTAAAGAATCGGTTAATGGACTAGAAAATATAAATTTCAGGAGAGGCAAAAAGCCTCAAGAAGTGAAGCATTTCATCTTTGAGTGCGCTAAGGCTTTGCGTGGATATCTTTTGTGCCTTGTCCTGTCTTTGACTTCGAAAGATCATCTTAATGTATTCTTTCTGATCCGCTCTCTACACTAGTTACAACATACCATACTAAAGAATGCCCACAGTTTAGTCAAACCTTCCAAACCCAAAGCCCCTACTATAATAATACCCTTGAAATATAGGTAGGCATCGGCGTCCTTCTCGCCGTAACTGAACACACAAGCTCGTGCCAACAATCTCCTTCAAAGGGCTGCAACCCTGGGCCCTCTGGCCCCTCCCTCGACTCCAACGGGAATTGGAAATCAACAATCTGGTGAAACGAGGACCTATCCCCGATCCGTGCCTAGCCCTGTCGCACCTGTCGCACCAAGGTTGAATGGAAGTGTGCTATGGAAGCCATGGAAGTCGTGGAAGAATTATGGAAGGACAGTGGAAGGGCGGTGGAAGCAACCGTCGAAGCATCCTCACCAATCAAAAGTGCGGAGAGAAGTGGACTGGGTAAGTTAACTAGGCTGGAACCAGAGTTCTGCCACACCTTTTTTCTCACGAGGAGGCGGTTCAGGCTAAACTTAACGACAAGACTCGTCTAGCAACAACAGCAGCAACTACTCCGTACTAGTGATGGAAATGCGTGTGAACCAGTTAACTAATAACTGCTCAAGACTCGGGAGAGGGGCTATAAAGGACTATTGGGCCTTTGAATTAGCTAATTAGTAGTTCTCATTTGTTCGGAGTTAGGGCGCTTTGCCGGCGCTTTTCAGATTTTCGGGGAGAAGTGAGAAAAGGTGGTGGTGACACCCAACTGATGCAGAGAAAACATTTCGGCTTTTGAAGTCTTGGGAGGGAGAGTTTTTGGTATGTAGCTGGATGAAGCTATTTTCTCTCTCAAAGGCGATGTACTTGGCGACTTTAAGTTAGAAAATATATACCTACTTCGAAACTCGGTTGAAATTTGCCATAACTGCATTCATCAACTATCAACCCAATTGACTCGAGCATTGGCAAAACAAACTGGCGCGAAGGGGGGGGGGGGAAGAGAGAGAGCAAAGAAAACCACCGTCCTACGCATGTGACGGTCTGGGTGCTGACTCTGGCTGGACAGGTTGTTTGTACTGTAAATAAGGCCAGTATATACTCTGTCACATCGTAGCAGCCCTATGAGGTGAAAGCGAAGGACCAAATCGAGACAGATAGCCAGAGACGGAGCGGGTCTCTGGCCGGGCCACATATAACTAGCGAAGTCTGAGTGTGTCGACTTTTTTCTTTTTTACAAAAAAAAAAAAAAAAAAAAAAAGGCCTTTAGGTATCTTCAACCCCCGCTCTCGAAGCTCCCCCCGCGCTCTCCATGTACATAGTACATTACATCTTCGGCAATGTACTGAGTAAGAGAGCTATGAGTGCGGAGAACCCGGTCTTCAGACGGGAGGAAAGTATTTATGTGTGGTGGCACCTACGTACATACGTATACGTCCCTTTCATCAAGCAAATGAGGGAATCAAAAAAGGAGAGGGGAAGAAGAAAAAGGAGCTATTGCTATCTCACGTAAGAAAGTTGCAGGGCTCCAAGGAATCAATCGCTGGTGCAGATCGATCCAATAGTGAATGAGTCGGTTTGGCGATTCTATCATACTGATTGATCACAACTTCCAACTCCGGCCCCCTTCCACCCTTCCACACTGTTGAGCTATATAAGAAAAGACAGAAAGAAAGGGGAATAATAAGCAAATAAGCAGTCCCGCTTTTGCCATCCATCCATCCATCCATCCATGATGCATGCAGCGGCAATGATGCCGAAGGGATCGGCTTCTGAACCAGGCTTTAAGTGATTTGCTCCTTGTCATCATTGCCCTTTTTTCTTCTCCAAGAAAACCAACTTCCGCTATCAATTGTCCGGTTGGCTCACGCTCACAGGCCTAACTAGCTACACCGTACACATAACCTCTAGTTAATTTACCGACGTGGCGCGGAGATAAAAACTGGAATACATGATAATGACAAGGGTTGGCGAACATCTGTCACACCTGCAAGGTCCACGGGCAACTGACTATACTATGGGATGGGAGATGGGAGAACAATGGGGGCGATGATCGCGGTGGGATCTGATCTGGCCCGGTGCAACTAAGGCGTGACTTCTAAACTGCCATACCCTACTCCGTACACGATACATGTGAGATACTTGTGATGAGGTACATAGGTACTGTACGACATAAGGGAAGAATAATGATGTCTAGAGCGATTGTCTGTGCCGGTGAAAGGAACCAGCCAGTTATGTATGTATGTAATGTACATGTATGTACAGTACCCAGCTATACGATCCGATCAGTAGAATACATACATACATACAATACCTACCGAGGCAAGCTATTATTATTATGTCTTCATGTTCAAGTTTCTGCCGAACAGACTTGTTAAATAAAACCGTATCGCACATGGGGCCCGAAAAAGTCTAATTTATCCTTCTAGTACAGATTGACCATGTCCTTGTGTGGAATGATACGGGGTGAGCATTGGCTCCTGCGCGCGCGCGCGCGTGTGTGTGAGTGTGTGTGTGTGTGTGTGTGTGTGTGTGTGTGTGTGTGTGGTGATTGTTCCATGGCTGTTTAATCTGCATTGCATTTCGGGGGAAGTTAGGGGCAGGGAGGGGCTGGTCTTAATTCCATAGGCACAGGCGGTGGAATGCGCCGCGTCCAAGCAAAACAAGACTCATGGATAGCACTAGAATATTTGGGATCTCACGATGAGTGGGAGCGAGGTGAATTGATTCCTAATAATGATAATAATAGTCACATATGTCGAGCGTTGGGAAAACGGAGGGGGGGGGGGGGGGCGGTATTGGTTTTTTTTTCTTTTTTTCTTCTTTCTCCGCACTTTCGAGGTTACACACGGACACGGACACGGACACGGACACGGACACGGACAAGAATGGACTGAGTACGGAGTAATAAGAATACAAAGGGGAAGAAAAGAAAAGAGTAACTTACGCTGCAAAGCTTCACGGAAAAAAAAGGGGGGTCGGAGAAATCTGTGCGAAGGGATAGAAACAAATCAATTTTTGTATTATTGACAAGGGGGTCTCTCTCTCACCCGAAACCCCTCTCCTAAACCATGCAACCATGCAAGTCTAAAACAAGAATAAGAAAAATAATAAGGCTGTAACTTACAAGGAAGACAGGGAGGGAGTTACCAGCCTTTGGGGAGGGGGAGAGATGACCAATAGGCTGGCAGTAGTTGGTAGAGAAAGCCAACACCAACCCGCTAGTTAAATCAACGCAACATAAAGCTAGGCGCTAGAAGAATGTTAGAATGTTCTGCAAGTCCCCGTCCCCAGATCTTTCTAGAGCCTTTCTAGAAGCCGAGATTTGACGGGGTCGTGTTGTGGTGTAGTTTTGTGTTAGTCAGTGGCTTCTTTTTACTTTGCCTGAGGATCCACTGCATCTCTTTTTTCTTTTTCTTTTTCTTTTTCTCTTTCTCTGTTGCACAATTGTGGCATTGTTACTTGTAGAGAATGTCTATGCATCCAAGGGACCCCGTCATCGGCTTTCTTACGGGTCTACTCACATGGGCAGGCATGCGTCGGTCAGTGCTCCGTTCTAGTTATGCAAAGAAATGCTTTCAAAATGGGCGACGGCTTGGAAGAGGAGCGCGAAATTCTATTCTTCTTCTTCTTCTTCTTCTGTCTTTTTTTGTACCCTACCTCCTGAAGTGGTACGGACGGGGCCAGCATAGCATCCATTATTAGCATGTCCACCATGTCTCACAGAATTTTAAAAAAACTTAAGTCACCCAAAAACCCAACAAGCATGATGTCGTGTAGAAGAAGAACTGTAACCTCAACCGCCGCCCCAATAAAAGCATGTTGAGAGACCTTTATTATTGTCCTTTTTTCTTCTTCATGCTTCATGCTCCCCTTGAAATTCGCACAACCCTCTTGTCGCTTCAATGCTTCATGGCGAGAGAGGAGTGAGAGTGAAGTCCTGATATTCCCCCGTCCCCAAGAGTACAACACGCCGGTATTATTTCAATCTGCTGATGATGTCTTACATACACATGGATCGTCACTCGTAAAACTAATTTAGTATTGTTCTCGGAATAACTCCAGGAATATCGACTAACGCAATAGAGGAATAGGGATAGGAGGGGGAATTGGGAATTGGGAATTGAAAGCGTCCTTTGTTGTGACGGGTTCTACTGCGAATGAAACATGAAAAAAAAAAAAAAAAAAAAAAAAAAAAAAAAAGTACAAAAAAAGGATCCCAGTACCCTTTGGGCTTCCCTGTCGAATAATGATCCATTTATTCATATCCATCGCGAGTCCCCTTTTTCGCAACTTCGTGGGTTTTGTTTTCCAACTACGGAGTATTCTGCATAGGATTTGATTTGTTATGTGCCCTTGTCTTTTTTCACGGGAAAGGGCCGCTTTGATCAACACCGAGCACTGGCTCCACTCGCAACTGAAAATGCCCTGTCGGTTGGCGACGTACACATACACCCTTGCAACTTGCCTGCAGGGGCGGGGCAGGGGGGAAAACTTATTAGAAGTTAGAAGGAGGAAACAGGAGGGCAGGGCCCATTAGTGATCCTCATTTCGAGGCGGTGCGCCACGATAAACTTTTGAGACAACTGGCCCTAACTAACTAGTGGTTGGATGGTGCGGGTTTCCTTTTTCCTTTTTCCTTCGAGAAGATTGCCTAGTGCAATTAGCGAGGTAGGGTAGCTTTAAAAAAAAAGAAAAAAAAAAGGAAAAGAAAAGAAAGACCCCCTTGAGTAGAAGTACAGAGTACAGATGCGAACAGAAAGGGTGTTGTCATGCAGGTCAAGAATAACCCGTCGTGGCTTTCTAGGGAGGGGTTGTTTTGGGCTGCACTGTCCGGAGTCAGTCAGTCCCTCAGGTGGCTGGGGCAGAGCATTGGATCATGGAATAATAATAACTACGCAGTAATGTTGGCCCCTCGTTTGATGTCTCGTCTAGGGATCCGCTCTCCTGCATTTCGAATACGCATGAGGGTAGTTAACTAGTGGTTAGGCCATGAGAAAGCGTATGGCCCGACTGCCTGCTGCTACACGGCTCGGAGTGTGTATACACACTAAGGATAGGGGTGGTTTGGGGGTTGCATAGGCAATTCCACCTCGTGAAAAGGAGAGTAAAAACGATAGGGGATTGCTCTGCGCGCAGGTGGATGTTATATTACTATCATTCTGGCACTCAAGCGAGCCGCAAGCGGGTCGTTAGTAGAAGTTAACAGAAGAAGAAGAATGATAATAATAATAATTAACTTGGACATGGCTGAAGGGGACGGACGCCCTCTGTCTGACCCACAGGCCACACCGACCGCGACAGGGCGATTTTCATCTGGATTTACAGCGTACGTAACTTTCAGATTATTATTAGTTACACGACGAGATCTCTGCCTGGTGCGCAGGGCGGGCCCTCCTCTCCAAGCATTCATTCTTCCAGAATCTTTCTGGTGCTTCTTTTCCGTCCGGGGCTTGTGTTTTGGCGCGCGGCGGTTGCTAACTCGTTGCCAGCTAGCTGGGTGGGTTTTGGCGGGCTTCAAGTTAAAGTATTTAGTTAAAAGGGAGCTTAAGGCTGCTTGCTGCTGGGTTAGTCAACTCTCGCCGCTTGCTGCTTCTGCTGCTTCTGCTTCTGCTGCTGGTTGCTGGTGCCGTTTCATAACATAACAAGACATAACATAACAAGACAAGACCGAACAACCTTGGGAAGAGAGAAATTATATCTGCGATTCCCCCCCAACCAACCCTTTGACACACGCCCTCAACAACCACCGCCACGCCCTAGTTAGTACCCAACTTCGACTCGACTTACTTACTCCCATCTCATCTCCATTCCCAGCTCTGTCTCTTTGGCTTACGATATATTCCCTGCCCTGTCACTCCTTGTCCTTCCTGTTCGCTCAACTCTATCTATCTCACCTCTCACCTCTCACCGTTCCCGGACAGCTACTGCAGCAACCTTGCCGCCTTGTTCCTGGTGAGTCCGTCCCCTCAATCCATAAGCTAGTCGTCAAAGCCCTTGTTGTCATTGCGGGACCTGAATGGGTCATCTCTACCTGTTGCTCGTCTGTGTCTGAAATTTTTTTCTCTTTTTTCTCTTTTCTCTCTCTTTTTTTTTTTTTTGCGTCGACTTTGTTGGAGTGGGGAGTGGTTGGTTGGAATCTTCGACTGCTGCCCCATTTGCAACTCAGATATCGGTGCCTGACGGTGTGGCTATGCAATGGCCCTATGTTTAATTGTCTGATCGATATTCATACTCCCTTTGCTAACCTCATCATCGCAAATAGTTTGACACAGAACGTCCAAGTGATCCAATTTCGCTGTTTTCCTTTCTGGGCTTTTTGTATCCTCCTCCCTCGAACAACGACGACCGCTGCTATTCTTTCTACCTTCCATTCGCGACATACCACATCAATCACTACAAGGGGCAACCGAGTTGTAACAAGACGAGATATTGGGGGAAGAATTTTTGCCATCAGAGTGCCCAGTCGCTCCAGTGAACGAGTTTCTCTGTCTTCCCTGTCTGTCATACCTTCGGATCCTTCCCCTCCCCGCAATTCCATCCACGGAGTTTTTTTTAGAGACACAAAACGGTCTTTGAAAACGCCCGGATAGTCTGCTTAGCAATCGGTCTTTGCTGTGGCTGCATCGCGTGCCTCTTACCTCGGCTTTTATCTACCTGGAGAAATCTCAAGCTCAAGTGCTATCTGCGGATACCCGTCTTCCCCAAGCGTGTGTGACTTTGCGTTGAGCTACTGGCTTGATTGCGACCCTTGCGCTCGCTTCCGTATCTCTGCCGTAGGGTTGTGACAGTCAGGACAGAGAGATTCTCCTGTTCATTTTTGTGTGTTTCCATACGCGGGAGACTCTGCTTGCCCGCTGGCTACCTTTACCTCTCCAGAACACATTATTCCCCTCATAACCCACGCCCAGTATCGAACCGGATACTACACGAACGCCACGGCATATATTTATATGAATCCAAGTGTCTTCCGTGCGCTGAAATAGGTCCTCTCCCCCGACGTAAATCCTCATTGACTAACTTGCGATTGATCCATCCATTCGCGTTTTGCCGACCCCGCCTTGGTTTACTGGACATTGGCGCTGACCTCTCGCTGATCGATCGTTGTACGCTTCTAGGATTTTAATAGTTCTGATAGAAGGTGTGTGTTTTAGTGTTTGCATATTAGTTTCCTCTTGCTACCCTATATTCTTTTGATATACCCGTTCGTGTCAGGCTAGAAGAATTCACTTTCGAAATTCGTCTACTCTTGGGTTGACCCCACCACCGCCTTTTCCGCGCATTTCCCATCGAACTGACTTTTTGCTCTCCATCCTACTACGTTTACTAACATAACATCTCCATGTATAGGAAGTCATTCTTTGAGGGAATTGATTCTTTATTCAAAGATACTTGTCCCAACTATAGTTGAGGAAGCTTTGCGAGACCCTTGCCGACAGACAGCCTCTGCTTCTCAACCCGCTTTATTCTATTTTACTTTCAGTTAAATGATCACAGGCACCGACTATGGATATCACAAACATTCTAAACGAGAAAGGAACCGCCGCCGCTGCCGTCGCCAAAGCCCAGTTACATCAACACTTGACCCAGGGAACACACATAAAATCCCAAACGCCGTCCGAAATGGGCTCTGAAAACGGAACGTCCCAGAATGGAGACCAGTCGAATATCTATCCCCCTACCTCGCAACCCCACTCCCACCTAGCAGGTATCCCTCAATATCATCCTCCATCGCAGGGTGCCGGTGGCGTTCCGGCTGCTCGTTCTGATTTTGTTCAAGCCGATCAGGGAGATGTCAAGTATCTTCCGAATGCCAATACCGGACGCGGAAGAGCAAGTGGAGAACCTGCGCCCAAAGCATTTCATTGTTCGACATGTGGGAAAGGATTTGCGCGGCGGAGTGATCTCGCCAGACATGGTAAGATCAGTAATATCACCTCCTGGACCACAAATGATTTGACGTCTGACTTATTCATTAGAGCGGATCCATAGCGGAATCAGACCTCACGTATGCGACTGGCCGGGCTGTGGGAAGCAATTCATCCAGCGTTCTGCATTGACCGTCCATACTCGAGTCCATACAGGCGAGAAACCACACATGTGCGACAGGTGTGGCAAGGTAAGAATAAATTGCTTTTTTCAGAAATATTGTGCTAATGAGCCGCGCTAAGGGATTTTTCTACTACAGCCTTTTAGCGATTCAAGCTCCCTTGCAAGACATCGCAGAATACATTCGGGAAAAAGGCCTTACAAATGCCCATACGCGAACTGTCAGAAAACTTTCACGAGGCGGACTACTTTGACGCGGCACCAAAATCATCATACCGGTACGATTGAGGAAGCTGCCGCTGAAACTGAAGCCAACCTGCGGCAGAACAAAGAACGAGTTATTCGTCCGCCGGATGGAATTTACTCAGAGACTGGGTCAACCCACTCAACACCATCTCCCGGTCAGCGCCATTCTCTATCTCCCGGGAATGAATTACCGCCAATGAATCTACATCGCCAGATGGGCGATTACTATATGGGGAATAATACTTCGATTCCTCCACACCTACGAGGCGACTTCCAGCAACCCAGCCCCCGAGCATCTCCATCTACCTCATCACCTCCGGTTTCTACCTACAATAACGTTCCCATGCTCGACCTTCGCTTACCTCCCACCCAAGCGGCTACGGACCACCGCAGCCTCTTGAACCTCCAGCCAACAGCGATCCTCGCCCCAATAGTGGATCTGGAAGTCCGCATATTTCGAGCATGGGATGGGCGTCTCCAACGCTTAACAGCATCGGCTCGCCAGCCTCAGCCTCAGCAACGGAATATTCATACCCGGAACCGTCCGGCCCCCCTTACTCAGCGCACATGCCGCCCCACATGTATTTTCCCAATTCAACAATACGACGACCGCAAAGCACAGAACCAGAGAACTACGAAATGAAACCTAAATTGAACGGGGATTCATGGACTACCCCTGTTTGACCGTGGCTGTCGACAAGTGCATCAATTGTTCTTCCTTTCGCAACAACTGTTTTATTCCCATATGGTTAATTATTTCACATCCTAATTTTTCCCTCAATTTATAGATACCCCACCGTGATCTCACGAACATGAAAACGGGTCAATTTCGCGCTGTATGAATACACTTTATCCCACCAGACATACTTTTTTAATCGCTATTACGTCTTTTTTTTTTGTCCCTTGTTCCCATTTTCCTCTCAATACTTTGCTATGTTGCTATCTGCTATCTGCCAGGTCTTCATTTTACCTAATATCTTTTCCTCTTTCATGCGTCAATACCTCATTAATTGTTTTTGTTTTTGTTATATCTCCCACCTCTTATAGAATATTTACTGTGTTCTGCAGGCAGTGTACGGGCAGTGGATGGAACGGGAACAGGGGCATCGTCAACGCTGTAGCACAGCAATCGGAGTATGGAAGGGACTCTCGGGTTTCCAGTTGTACTTGGGGGTTGCTTTGGGATTTGATATAGGGGTGTTTATGACTCTTGAGTTGACACACGGTTGCATGGGATTGAGTTGGGATCACCACAAAAAAGCTATATATATACATATCGCTATGCCCGTTTGATTTTTTTGATTTACATAGTTTTCTTTTTATCACAACAATAGATATCAGTTTGTTTGCTTTATTTGTTGATGTGTATGTTAGCTAGGTACTTCTACTAAAGGTGATTTTGTTAATCGACCTTATTACCTCGAGCATGTTTAATACCGCCGCTATCTGATGCTGCATGAAAATGTGCATTCGCTTCCAACCCACGCACTGTCATCTGGGAGATGGCAGTGGGTCACAATATGTCTTCCATAATTTGCTGCGCACTGTACGTAATGAACATATCTTGTGTGGTCCAACCAGCTAAGAGAGTCTTCCAAAATTCATATAATAATACATTGCTTAATATAATACATAAAAAGTTTAATACATATCAGAAAATGATGGCGAAAGTCCTCTTTTAAAACCCCCTCTGCACCGCCCAGAAATAATTCCCCAACTTCTCCGTCCCAGGAATCTTCTTCCACCCCAACCCCGGAAAATACATCGCACCCACACACTTCCACCTCACCCCACCACCATCACCACCAACCCCATCAATCTCCCTCAACCCCTCCCCAACCCAACCCCTCAGCTCCCCATCATTCACAAACTTCCCCCACTCATGCGTACCCCTCGGCACCACGCCGATCGGCCACGGCGCCTCCGCGATGACCTGATTGATGATGTAGGAGGGGATGGTGCGCGCGATCGTCGAGCCGACCAGCCAGCCGCCCGGCTGCAGGAGTTGGAGGCATTTTTTCAGGAAGGAGCGCGGGGAGGAGGTTTGCGGGTTGACGTGCTCGAGCACTTCGAAGAGGGTTATTATGTTGAATTTTTGGGGTGGGGGGGATTGGGCGGGAGAGGGGGAGGGTGAGGGCGAGGGCGATGGCGGGGGGTTATGGAGGAGCGCTTCCAGGCTTGTATTCTCGTATCTGAACCGGCCTGATTGGAGATGGGAGTAGACGAGGGGATCGGCGCGGGCGTGTGCGGTTGCGATCTTTATCATTACTGGGGATGGGTCGATGGCTAGGATTGAGGAGGCGTTGGTTACGGGGGATAGGGATGGAGCTGTGGTGCTTGGATTCGTGCTGCCTTGGCTTGCGCTGGATGCCGGTGGGATTGTGCGGGCGAGCGATTCGGCGAAAATGCCGCCGCCGCAGCCTATGTCTAGGTATCGGAGGCCAAGGGGGCCTGTTGTGTTTGTGTTTATGTTTATGTTATCTTCTTTGTTATTGTGAGGGTTGGATGAGGAGGATGAGGAGGGCGAGGGAGAAGAGCGTGGATTGGATTCGGCAATGCAGGACGCTATGAATTCATGGCGCAGCGGGTTCATGAGGTGGAGGATGCGCGACGGGCCTAGAGGGTCCCACCAGCTGCTGGCGAGAGACGAGAAATGAGTGATTTCATCTGAAGATATGGAGGAGGCGGTTGAGGAGTGGTGTCGGACTCTGTCGACCTGTTTGGTGGTGGTGGTGCGCCTCAGACCATGGCGGAGGAGGGTAATGTTCCGCGCAGCAGCTGCAGAGGACCAGAGGCGGTTGAGCACCATTTCTCTGTGGCCGTACAGAATGGTCTTTTGCGCCGGATAGGATGGGATGAGGAGAGTCCTGGGGAAGTTAATTAGCTTGCGATATCCATAGGTTATTTATATTCAGGATGAAGCACGGGAGTATGGTTGAAGCCGCAATTGTGATTCTACGACTACTGGTCCGCAAGTTGGAGACCCAGGAAGAGCGATATCACATACCTCTACGGAGTAGAAGCGCAGTGTTCCCACTCAGAGTATAAGTAAGAACAAGGCCTATTAGTTCACGGCGGTCAATTGCTGCTCTCCGCAGTCTAGTCTCCGGTCTTGAATCTTGCAATATTTGACAAAAAGACGTCGGTGTTGGGATGCAAACATGACAAACTTCATCTATTTAGCACCTCGGCATTTCTCGCACCATCCATCTATCTGCAACCAAACCATCTCCAAGCAAAGCTCAACCAACATTGAATATTTGCTGCTTCAATTGCAAATACATGGCAGTGATGTGTGGGTAGTTATGAGTAAGTTTCACTTGTTGTTTTCCCGAGAAAACTACTAATATTGGAGATAGTTACCATGCTGTATGCAACCCTAGGGAATTATTGGAGAGATTTCCTCTCCTCCAATGGGTCTATGCTCTCCTATTTTGTTATTATATTCGAGGATTCTCCTACAAATCTTCAAGACTTCTTCGAGTTATTCCCTTATAAACATTGGGATGCTTTCATTTATGTACATACAAGAACTTGCTAAGTTATGTTTATCCGGTCTTAAGAAGAAGAAATCTCGCCTGCGCAAGCCCACCGCTAGTACATGTACTTTCTCACCCGGCAAAACGCAGATCCAACGACGGAGGAATCTGATTCCGATGTCGCTGTCAGCTTGACTTCGGCATTGTACGTAGCCCACTTGTCCGCAGCGACGGCAACATCCACTGTCGTCCATTGTCCAAACTTAGCTGTGGTCAGCGCGTTAGGCAGCTCGACCTTCCAGCCTTTGCCTTTAACAGTGGCTTTAAGCCGGTATACATCCGATTTCAGGTACTCAGATATGTCCTGTGGATGCTGCTTGTTCCCACCGCTGGCAGGTGAGTAGGAGCCAGTGTTGCGGAGCTTGAACGAGCAGGTTACTCCCTTGTGTGTTGGCTTGTTGCCGCGGCTCGGTTTGACTCGGCCCCTGTTGATTTTGATGCCGCGCTTATGGGAGTCTTTCTTGTCGAGTGGCCGGACAGCAACCGTGTACGAAAGAATGCCCTTCCTGTCGCGGTGAATGTCGATTATATAGAAATGCAGCCCATTGGCTTTGTCGACATACTCGTACTCACTGCCGGAACGGGTACCAGCGTGAAACAGCGCGTCCGCCAGCTGACGGAAGTCGCCGAGACTGATCATTGCTGGTGTGCCATCTGGTCTATAGAAGTCAACAACCCCCAGATCCTGAGGGTTCGCGTCAATGGTCCACTGGTAAGTGCCTCGAGACTTAGACTTGGTCTTGCTAATCATGACCCCTGAATCCGGAGTGAAGGAGTCAGGACCCATGCGGTCGATGACCTCAACGTCATAACCATTATAGCCACCTCCGTCACAGAATGGGTCAGTATCCGGATCACAAGCTGGTGACTTGTCGCTATCCATTGCAATGCGAATACCCATTAGATCGACCTTGCTTGGAACGACCGATCGGGCTGTTAAATGGGCCACAACAGTGCCCGATTTGGGTAATCCCTCGCGCGATAGCCGAACGAGGTTTTCGTTGTCGACGAGCTTGAGCTCAACCTTATCGCGGAGGGTGTGGAGTGAACCCATGGAGCCTCCCTGCGTGGGAGGGATCTTCCAGCGAGAGTGGGGCCCTCCGGGGCCATTGAAACTGCCGCGAGACAACATAGACCAAGGGCCAGTATAAGACCGTCGAGGTGGTTTCCCATATGGATTGTTGTAATTATCGCCAATATCAAGCAAGTGACTAAGCTCGTGGGCAAACACGGCCATACCAGAACTCTCGCTCTGGGTCGATGATTTTCCATCGGCATTAGGCCAGATGGTAGACGCCGCGGCCCACGACGTCCAGTCTACATAGCGAGTTTTTGCGAAGTTTGGATCTTCCGCCGTTGGAGGGCCAAATTCATCGGGGACGTCTTCCGGGGTGTGAAAGCGCATTTCGCCAAATTCTTGCCATGTGGCTGACTCATCCTGGCCCGCGGAAAGGATGAAGATGAGTTCGAAGGAGTCTGCTGTCTCATTACCAACATCCGCGCGCCAGGCCCCAAGAGCGTCAGTGCGGAGATCGATTTCGCACGTCTCGCCCGTCGGGCATGCTCCGTCGTTCATCCGCTTGTCGATACCGTACTGGAATGATTTTAATGGCAGCTCATAAGGGCCAAATCCAGTGAGGTCAACGCCATAACGACCCATAGAGTCGGTCATCCAGTACTCATGGAGCGTGTGTCCGTGGTTGACCTCACTGGGTTTGTTAAGGAAATCGCGGTAAAAAGCCGGCACCTTCTCGCGCGTAAGCCCTGTAGGCGCATTTGGCTGCGGGTTGCCGAAAATAGTTGACCCGGGCTTCTGGAGAATGGCAAATGGCATGTTCGGGTAGTCGACAGTAACCAGGGCGATGTTGAAATTGCGCAATGAGCCCCTTTTGGTCGGGTCCGCCCAGTTGGTACCAGGGGGAGACTTCCAGTCGTCCCAGGTCATATTATCAGGGTTGACCCAGTTCTGGGGATCTAGTACCGCAAAGGGGTCATTGGGCTTGTGATTGCCGCCACTCGCACTGATTTCATCTTCAATTGGCACGGCTCTTGCGGGCTGGCTGAGTAGGGACAGCGACAGCGCGCTGGTGAGCAGCGGCCCTAGGACTGCCCAAGGGGAACGAGACGCGTCGGGAAGTTTCATCCTTTCTTTGACGCTAGAGGATATAGAAAGCCCAAGGGCCAAAAATATAGGACGAATTGAGTGCTCACCTCGATTGAACGGTGAACGCACCCGGGTTAGAAATTTAACTGCTAGGAATCCTACGAGAGCGTGATAGTTACAGTGGGCGCACCCGCATTGTTATTATTTATAATTCGTTTCCACACGAATCCTGCCCCGCATAAAACCAAATCAATACCACACATACATGCACATACATACATGTTCATGGCCTGCATTCCGTGTCGCCAGCCCGTCCAAATACGGATCCTTCCACGACCTATCAATTGGTTCAGGGGTTCCGCAAATTATGAAGCAAACCAATTCTAGGAACCGCACGATGCAACCATAAACACGACGCTCGTTCAGAATGGGGTTTATCGGCCCTGCTGCAAACGTCGATATCCCGGCCGTGTTTTCTTTTGGGCGATCGTTTTGACGAAATGCATGAGGCTAGCCCAATCTTGGAAGCTCGGAGCCGCCCACATTGCTGGCTCCCGCGCCAAGATGGGCCGAGACTGAGCTTGAGCTTGATCCCCTGCATTCTGCGGGGAAGATCACCGACTGTATCCGGTTCGGTTGATAACTTCGCCCGTTTGCCAGAATAGCAAATGTTGAGGAGCGAACATCTCCATCGTTCGTTTTTCAATCCCCGTCCACACTATGTATTTCCCGGAAGTTCTTTCCTTCTTCCAACCAATTCAGGGCGAAAGAGAACACCACACACTGCCTCAGAAATTCTACAGGTGCTGGCTTCAGTCTGTAGACAGTCTGCACGAGGGTTCCAAAATCTTCCGGGACGCCTGATGTGGGAGTGGATATTCCTGGTTGTGCCCGCTATCCGATCCCATCCCACGTACCCCTCTTGAGTCTTGAAATGCAGGCTGTATCAGTGGGGCGAAAGTTGTTCTGTTTCCTCTGGCCGTGGGCCTTTGGCTTGGCGCTTGAACGTGGAGGAGTTGTCCAGACGAAGATGAGTTTGCGTTGCCCAACTCGCACGACGAAGTGCTGGCGATAATTAAATTCTAACTCAATGATCTTATATGAATATATGAATTATTTATCGTATATATAACTAGATTCATCTCTAACTAAACCCCCCTCTCAAAAAAAAAAAAAAAAAAAAAAAAAAAAAAACAGGGAGAGCAAATTTATCTAGAAACGAGTATTCTTTGTCAACAATCACCATCAAAAATTGAACAGCCATTTTGTCATGCATCCAAACACCCATTGACAACCCCAATTCGCTTCCACTCACGCTTCTGTAAAAACAACCCTTGATGGCAAATTCGCGCTGTTTCGAGCATCAAACTTTGAAAAAACGACACACATTTTGCGACAACTTTAGGTATCCTAATGAAGAAATCGTATATCAGAGGAAATACGGAAAATTTGGGCAAAAGAAAAACAAAAAAGAGAAAAGAAATTGTAAAAATCAGTGTTTAAAAGCCATGACAAGTATCATCATATCCCTTTTCTGCAGCTTCAGACCTCCTCCTTCACTCGTCGGGGAGCAGGAACATGTGCATGGGCGCTCCGCACACGACCATTATTGCCATCTCTCCCAGTAACACTGGACCTCTCACTCTCCGGACTAAAGCTCTTCTCGCTTCCCTTCGTCAGCGTGCGAGCAAAGGAGAAGAATCCCTGTCTGAGGCCCAACTCGTGGCTTGGCCAGCGTCGCCGCAGACCCAGTCCAGCCCCAGTGCCATAGTCCTCTCCTTCCGCGAACCAGCCGGTCCTTCGTTTTACCAGCTTCCAAGCCTCCACGCCAAGCACGAATATAAATATGGATCCAAATGCTAATGCCCATTCCCAGGTTATACCACGGTGCTTGAAAACTTGCGTGTTTAGGCCGGGGATATAGACGGCGGGAAAGACTGAGACGAACCCGATAACCACAGCCCAGAAGAGGAATTTGTTCTCATATACGTCGTGGAAGAGTGGGATTGAGGGGAAACGGTCCTCGCTACGATCACGCAGCGGATCTAGATTGAACATGCTGTTGCGAAGGTGTTTAAATTCCCATGCGGAGATGAGGATGAGCCATGTGAGTTCAGCGAAGACGGCGGCACGGGCACGGAACACGACATCGCAGCTATCATTGGACGAACCGTTACAATCGAGTCCCAGATCGTCTTGTCCATTCCCGACACCATATACCACAATGACGAACGTGAGAAGCGTACAGGCTCCCATGATGACACCGTAGACCATCATGTCCGCGATTATTTGCCAAGTGAAGACACCTTTTTTGGTATCGTGTGGTGGACGATGCATCACGGAGGTAGAGGCCTTTTCGCGACCAAGGCCAAACGCAGGGAATGAAGATGTCAACATGTTAATCCAGAGAATCTGCAGCGGTGAGAGCGGGAAAACGGAGATCCCTGACTTGTCCTGGAAACCAAGTCCGACAATAAGGAGTACAACTTCACCCACGTTGGAAGTGAGAAGATGGAGAATGAATTTCTGAATATTTTCAAACATGCGTCTACCTTCCTCAATTGCATTGACAATGCTTGCGAAATTATCATCCGTGAGCACAATATCAGAGGCAGACTTAGCCACATCTGAACCAGCCATGCCCATAGCGATACCAACATCTGCAGCTTGGAGTGATGGAGCGTCGTTTACACCGTCTCCAGTCATGGCACAGTATCTGTGGCGACGATGGAGAGCAGCGATCATTCGAGTTTTTGTATCAGGGGCGCACCGTGCAATTACCAAAGGGAGAGAAGGCAAGGCATCGATTTCCTCATCAGTCAAGCCGTCAAACTCCGCAGCTGTTTTCACCAAAGAGTTCGCCTCCTCGGCTGATAACGCTCCCGGGTTGCGTGGAAGGATACCAACTTCCTTTGCAATGGCTGTAGCGGTTGATGGATGATCACCAGTAAGCATGTGAACACGAATTCCAGCCATAGTACATTCTGGGAACGAAGTTAGTGACTGCCTCAATGTTAAGTGAGATAAACAAGTAAATTTGAAACATACCTTTAACGGCATCCTTGGTTTCCAACCGAGGGGGATCATACAAACCAGCCAGACCGAGAAGTGTCAAATCTTTCTCGAATTCCTCTCGGGGGATTTGCGAATGAGGGTCAACTTCAACAGGGCCAGGTTTCCGCGCGATTCCAAGCACACGTAGACCCTGTCCAGCAAGGAAGTCCATTTGCTCAAGGATATCTTCCTTAAGTTTTGGAGTCATGGGCTCTTGACTGTCTCCCATCCCAACGGTGGTGCAAAGGTCAAGGATCCGTTCGACAGCACCTTTCGTGAAAACAATGGTTCCAGGTTCACCGGCGTGGCGGTAGATAACTGTCATACGCTTCACACTACTGTCAAAGGGGTACTCAGCTAGTTGCTTCCAGCCTTGTTCGGTTTCAAGAGTCTTTTTTCCAAGACCAAATCGGTGAGAGAACACTTGGAGCGCAACCTCAGTAGGGTCGCCCATGGTCTGCCAGCTATCGGACTCTGGATCATGGCGAACAGTTGCTAAATTACACAGCGCGGCACATTGGACAAATGCCTCGAGTTCTGGGACCATCTCAGGAAGCGCATTCTGCATAGCATCGTCCTCCTTCTCTGACGGGCCTTCGTTGCGTTCCTCGTTGCGACGTTGGTCACGTTCCTCTTTCTCAGCGGGGATATCGAATTTTAAGCCAGCTGTAGAACGCAGTGCGTCCTGCTCAGCACGTTTGCGCTCCCGCTCCAGTTCTGCCTCCTGTTTCGAAGCTGGATATTTCCCTAAAGTGATAATCCCTCGAGTGGGATTGGTGGCATCATCGGACTTTTGGAGGCTATAAATACCAACACCAGGAATCCAGGCCTTGCGGGTTACCATTTGGCCTTGGGTAAGTGTTCCCGTTTTGTCAGAGCAGATATTAGTGACACCGCCCAGAGCCTCAAGAGCACTTAGTTGCCGGACAACCACTTTCCGCTTTCTCATCTGGGTCATGCCAACAACCATAGTGATGGTTAGGACAGCAATAAGGGACTCAGGAATGATAGCAATACCTAAGGAAAAGGTAAGATAAAAATGTTAGTAAAGAATAAATCATTCTGCAGTTAAAATGTGAGATCTGGATTTCAGCACATACCTGTAGAAATGGCGTAGATGGCCACCTCGCTTGTAACGTTGAAGCGATTAACACCGAAGACAATAATAGCAAGCAAGAGAGCGCATCCGAATAGTACGTAGGCCAATTTGCTGAGCTTGATCTGCAATGGTGTCCCCTCTGTGAGGCCCAGGAATTTACCGATGCTGTCCCAGACGCGAAGAGCGCCACCCTTGAGTGGTTGCATGTTTCCATGCTTCTTTCGGGACATAGAACGACCAGCTTTGCGCTTTTTACCTTGCATAGATTGTGCAATTTTACCGATCTCGGTGTACATGCCGGTGAAGACGATGATGCCGCGACCACGGCCTTTGGTGACAGTTGCAGAAGAGTAAGCCATGTTCAGGCGGTCTCCGACGCCAGTCTCCAGCTCAGTTCCAGTAGGGCTGAAATCGGTTTCCTTGGCCACCGGAACAGCCTCACCTGTTAGGATCTTCTCATCGCACTCGAGATTCATGGCTTCGAAGAGTCGAAGGTCAGCAGGAATGGTGTCTCCCATTTTGACCTGAACAATATCGCCTGGTACAACTTCGCCGGATGGGATGGTTATCTCATGGCCATTTCTAATTACGGTGGCGGATGGCGAGGAGAGGGAGCGGAGAGACTCCATCTTCTTTTCCGCCTTGAATTCTTGGTAGAAACCGACAGCGACATTTATCACGATAACAGCGGTGATCACAGCTCCTTCAACGTAGTCGGAAACACCGAATGAGAGGGCCATGGCTAAAACAAGGACCTGGTCCGAAAAATACAAATTACTATATAGTTCCCAAAACATGGTTGTGCACAATGAAGCTCCGGAAAATCCAACGCGATAAGACAAGGCAATAGCAGCTGTGAAGGGTCTCGGGGTATCAGAAATGGTTGAGGATCATGTAGGCAACACAGAAATAAAGGTCATCTACGACCAGTTGTTTGGCGAACTACGTTCTTTTCGACCCTCCACATCGTTCATCTAAGAGCACATGGCAAAAAACACCACACAACTACTAGATGGCAGAGTAGAGAGACATAAACGAGTGAAACGCGGCTGCAATCATGAATGAACAACGGCATTGAGATTGTGGACGGGCCCCGAAAGCCTTGGTGGAATAGTGGTGGGAATCTGATGCAACAAGAATCAAGAGAATTTAGAAATGAGAAGATACGTACCAGGATCATGGCATTTGAAATTTGTTTCCCCAGCAGAGTATACCACCTCGCTGCCCCCTCCCCGTGCAAGCGGTTGGGCCCATACTCATCTTGGAGTTTCGCGACGTTGACATCGGATATGCCAGTTTCCGTGTTCGTATTAAGGACCTGGGTAATCTCGTCGATAGAAAGCAGAAAAGGATGTTTCTCATACTCTTGTTTAGCATACTCCTTGGGGCGTCCCATTGCGCAGAGACCTTCCTATGATATTTGTAACTTGTGTTTATTTCCTTTGAACGGGTAGGCACTAGATCGTTTGGTGATCGTGTCTGCTACAGACAGATCAAGGTTTCGGAAAAGAGTTGTTAAAGACGAATGAGCAGATTGGTAACCGGGATATTAGCCGTAATCAAGCGAAGTGGAAACGTAGAATGGCCTAAAAAGAGGCGTGGTGAGATTCGGAGCTTGAATAACCAAAAGATGTTGTTGGGTCAGTAGACCCATTCGGTATATAGATCTAGAAGCACGGACGAAAGGCACAATGATTAGTACGATCTGATGGCTGTTAAAAGTCGGGAAACCGGAATGACCCACCAGACGGAAGTCTAACAAGACAAGAGGATGATATAGCTAGAGAATATCAACGACTATGGTGAGCCAGTCTCATTATTATCCTGGATATCATATATAGAGCTGCAGCGTGATGACAATATATATCAATCTTTACCCTGCCTTTCCAAGAAGGCAAGAAGGGAAGAACGAAGGACTGATGACGAATGGATAGTAGCTTCCTCTTTGACGTCAAATCTTAATGTGGAGAAAAGTGAAAGATTTGATATTAGTTATTGTTACTATAGAAGGGAAAGAATGCCTGGCAAGATGAGAAGGGCAACGAAGCAGCCAGAGTGGGAATATCGTCGGCTTTATACAATCGCCTCCGGGATTCCTCTCACAGTACCAAGCCCCGATAACAAAATGCTCCGGCATTTCCGATGATGAAATCGCCCCCTCTCCGCCGCGGCCTCAAGGTTCTTGGCTTCAGGCAGAGCCATGGATAGCGCAAGCCGTCCTGACCAGTGGGAAGCCTTGGTTCTTGGCGAGTTCCGCCAAAATGGCCCGCACTTCCGTGGGCAGCCTGGGCAGGACTGTTCAAAATGCACCGATCTCAGCGCTTGAGGCTTCTACTATGCTAAAGCATTATTTTCTCTCCACTGTCTCCACACCCTGTCTGCTCTGTGCTCACTGCTCAGTGCTCAAGAGCCTCCTCAATTCTCTTTCTCAATGAGATTGTGTTTCTATTATTGGTGTGACGCACCACCCCCACAAGTACATTCTTTGATCATCATACCGACGTCGACTGGATAGGCTGGCAAGGAATTTTGGATATATCGATTGGCCAATCGCGGTCAGAGTCGCCCGTTAGTAAAAGTTTCCACACTAGCAAACCTAAAGCCTGGTAGCCGTTTTGTTTTCTCCGTTTGGCGTATGTACGGAGTATAATAATTGTTGTGCCTCGTTTTCCAGGAAAAAGAATGATAATAGACAGGGAGGGAATATCCAACAGGCGCAAAGCTGATCTCCGTCATGGCCTGTAGGCTGTTCGTCGGGATGTTATCATCCATATGATCCTGGCTGCTGGCGTCTCGAAGTTGTTCAGAAGGCTGGTAGTGCCTTGGCGGCTGTCTTCGCCCCAGGTTATGATGGTTATATCAGCATGCTCAACTCAGCCTCTCTTGTTCGATATTTTCGGATTAGCGCGAGCAACTAAACGCCTTTAGCCTTCTGCCAAGCGCTGCTAACGTCTGGACCAATCAGAGACCTCCCACGTGCTCATGACATAATATTCCGTGGCAGTAGTTCGGATTGGGTTAGCTCGAAGTGGAGTTTATTGTTGGTGATTACTACACCTACCCTAGTCACGTGCCACTCCAACCTAATGGATCCATTTAGTGTAACTCGCGTAGTTAGATTACAATACAACACAACAACGTTATCCTCCAAGATTTATTGCCTGGGGCCTGACTGACTTTGGTCTGCCTTACCAAGTCTCGGAAGCCCGCTGCGGTGGAAAATGAAACACCAGGGTAGTACGAAGGACTGTACCAGGGTTTCTGACCTGTCTTCCTCTTTTCTCCGTTCTCCCACCTTCGCTACCGTTTGAACCTCGTCGGCTATCCCCCTGTCCCCTATCCAAGACCCCCAAGCCTCATTCCCATTGGATAGCGGGGGAGGAACATCTGCCACGTGACCCACCGCCGCGCTGATCCAAGCACCCGATGACGCCGGCTTTTGCAGAGGAGGCCCAGGACAAGGTCGCAGGAGCCAATCACTGTGCTTGATGGCGTGACACGGAGCAAGGTCGACGTCGTCGTGCATGAGAGGAGCGGTCTGAGCGCAGCGGAACTATCTTGGCATGCCAAGACTCCTGCGTCGCCTAGCGGGGGGTTCCTGACCTTCTGTGGGAGCGGGAACGGGAGGAGGAGGAATCTCTGTGGGCGCCGTGATGAAGGGGGAAGTGATGAAGGGAGGGAGACGCGCGGAGGGTCCCTAATACACTGAGCGAAAGATTCAATAATAGAAGAAGGAAACTAGCCACATGATGGCTAGATGGTTTACCCTGTTTCCGTTGTTCTTTTGATCTTGCCCGTTTAGCCCTCGAGGAGATGATACAACTACGCAGCTAGAAACGGAGTAGCCCATGCAAGCCTCCAATCTGGTGGATGCGGGTTTCTATTGTCCCGATGCTGATTGTGTGCCATCTCCGCCACGTTCATACACGGATTTCCCCAATACCCATACAAGCAAACCAATCGATTGGGTTTTTCGTGTTATGCATTTCAGACGGACAATAATCCGGATCACTCCTCCTGATTAGCCCTTAGTCCGATACGAGCGAAGAGAGCAAGGGAATTTAGCGAGACCCAACCCTTTCTTTCCCGCCAAAAAGCCGCTCTGCGTCGTTATTCCGCCTGTACCGCCCCAAAAAAAGGCACCCCAAGTTCAGGAACAGCATGGACTGGACACTCACCGCAACTAAATCCCTCTCCACCACGTTTATTGTGTACACCTTACTGCGTATAGCTTTAAATGCACAACACCAATCAGCCATCCAACCTTCCGTCGTCCCTAGTTCTATCCAGCAAAGCTTAACTTTCCGACAATCTTCTCGCTCCCTCCCCCCTCCCCTTCACTCCCGCTGTCTCCGGGTAAGCTTCCTTTCCTCTGGGCTCTCCCGCAAGGGCTTAATCAAACAATGGCTTCACCTCACACAAGCCCAACTAACTACCTAGGTAACAAAAAAAGGAAAGAAAAGAAAACGCCCTGTCGCGTGACAGCTCCCATTTTTCATGACAAACCCAGCCCATTTCTCAATATCTGCCAACTTCTTATCTATCATGAAAAAGAAAAAAAAAAGAAAAGAAAAGAAACAAACGGCAAGGAGCGAGAAGAAGCAAGCCCAAATGGACGGCTGCAAAAGTTGTTCTAGACCAGACCGCTTCACAAGCTCATCGATATGACATATATCTGTCTCAATCAGGGCCGCGGGCAAGAACAGGAACCTATATCCTCATTCCACATGGTTGGATAGCCAGCCAGGCCTCGGGCCCGTTTTAAATACCGTTACGAAAAAAAAAAAAATCGTTGACACAGAGCCCAGTGTATGGAACGGGCAGAGCAGAATGGACCTGAGACGGGATTTCAAGGCCCTTTGGGGAGGTTTTACTGTAGCCTACCTCCAATTGCCTGCTGCGGGAGGATCATCCTGAATCCCGACAGGCAACACATAGAGGCAGGAGTTCCGCCAGCTGAAAACCTTACCAGTGTAATTGAACACAGCGTATTTGCATTTTCAAATATTTGATTAACTAACTTGGAAGCTGTCTTTGACCTTTTGTTTATCTTGTTCTTTGGGTCCGTCATCTGAATGGTACTATTCTATATATTTACAGTAGGCATAAGGAGAAAATAAACATCTGTAATGGGGGACAGACACCCCATGCACATTTTACCCAAACATGCACATCCGTTCCCATCAAAACCCCGTACAATCCGCAATGCGAAAGAAAAAATGGCTTTATTGTACATGTACAAACATGCATCTGGAGCAGTACATCTTTATCTCCAAATTATACACCATTGCCCGCATCATGCTTCAGTCATATGTAATGTACAGTACATACAACAGCAGCAAAAGAACTTTCCCTCAGGAGAACCAAAAAGAAAAACCCCGCCCGAACCCTTCCCCACTAGGGGGGTTAGAGGCTTGTTAGAAGGGTCAAGGCCCGAGCCCCGAGCCGGGGTTGGAGGGAGGGAGGGAGGAAACGGGATGAGCCGCCTTAAGCACAGCTAAAAAGGATACCTGTGAACGAATTGGTGCAGGGAAGGGATATCGTGGACGTTGAAGGAAGGGGGGGGGGAGTGTTGCCACGATAGTTAGTGTTGATAAAATGTATCTGAGTTCCGTAGGTTTCATTCTCTTCTTGTTTCCTTTTCACCTTGTAAGCGCGTGTCAATGTCCCCTGCCCGTTCCCATGGACTTCAGGATTTTGGAGGGCATGATAATGTATTCAAAAAGGGGTTTCATCCTTCAATCACAAACCAACCAACCTTCGTCCTCCCCGTACATACATCTTTTGTATGTACACAGATAAACAATAACCAAAAGAGAAAGGCACCTCTACTCCCCAATATCAAAAACACTACTTCCTCCCCCTTCCCTTCCCTTTCCCCTTCCTCCGCTTACCCGCTCCGGTCCCCTCCTCCGGCTCCGGAACACTAACCGTCCCCTCCACCACATCCTCCCCCTGATCCCTCAACCTCTCCGCCCCACTAATAAAAAAGCTCAAATCGCGATTCTGCTCCTTCAAATCCTCATTCGCAGCCGTCAACTTCTGCACCTCCCCATTCAAAAACTCCACCTTCTCCATCAGACTGCCGTTCAAAGCCTTCTCCTCGCGCCACTCCTTCTCCATCCGATGCGCCATGGTCTCAAACTTCTCCGCCCGCCGCTCCGCACGACCCTTATCGCGCTCCAGATTCGGTATCGTCTCGTTGAGCAGCGTGTCATATTGCGCTTGGAGCGCGGAGAGGTTCTTCGTCGCCGTCTCCGCAGCCTCCTGTGCAGCGGAGGCCGCTGCGCTCGCAACGGACGCCTTGTCAGCGGCGCGCTCGACCACTTCTTCGAAATAGGTCCGCTGGCTTTCCAGTTGGCTAGTTAGCAGGTGCGTGTATTCCACACTCATGTTCTCCAGCTTCTCGCGGGGCACGGCATCGCCCCAGTCCGGTGGATCAAGGGCACTCTCGCCCGCCGCGGGCAGCTCGACCAGTTTGCCGTCAGACTTATTTTGAATGATCCGGTGCACATAGCCGTCGCCCACGTAGTCCCATACACGCTGAGAAGCTAGGTCCATGGCGAAGGCGTGGGACGTCTCCTTGAAGTGTGCAAAGGCATGTGCTTCGTCGTAGCGGCCACAGCCAATGTTGCCGCAGATCAAACATAGCCACAGATTCACCTCTGAATGGCACACTTGGCACTCGGTGGGGCCCTGGTCGAAATCAAACGTCTGAGCTGCCCTTTTGCCCAATTCGTCCTGTGTATACCGACACACGGGACATCCGCTCCCTTTCCATTTTTGCAAGCATGTACAGTGAAAAACATGCTGGCATATGATCGTCAGCAAGCCTGTCGTCTCGTCCATTCGCTCCAGGCAAACGGGACACGTTGGTAACTCTATTAGCGATGGCGTTGGAGGTGCCAATGGTTTCGTAGATAAGGAAGTCGATGAGAGGGTACCCGATTGAGCGGGGGAGGATGGTGAGGAAATTAGGGCATGATTCGTTGTTGCGGGCGTAAAGGGGTCATTATTCATATCCGGAAACTTGCTCTCTGTCCCCGGTGCCTCCACCTGAATCTCGACAGTTTTCACAAATACAACATGACAAGTTTCAGGCTATAAACATGTGAAAGAGTCAATCATCAGCAACAATCCGGATTCAAGAAAATGGCTTTCCAGCCACCACCAAACAACAGAAAGAAAGAAACAAAAGAGAACAAACTCACCTCCATGGAATTAAACACCTTCCCATTCCAATCTCGCTGCCATTCCTTCGCCCTCTTCCCACTCCGAAACTTCATTAGAACCATATACCGATTCGCCCGCGCCGTCCTAATCATTCGAAAATGGCTAACCTCATCCCTCGTCTGCTCACCCACAAACCCCAAGAAGTCCGACGGAGACATGTATGACGGCACCGCGAGGATACATAAAGTCGTACAATCCTCCACAGACTGGACGCCTGCTGCTGCTGTTGCTGTTGCTGGTGCGGTTGCTAACGATCCGGATTTTCCAGACCCACTGCCAGTTTCCACATCATCACTGCCATATCTCCTGCCAAGGCTGTTGCTGGAATTACCATCAAGCATCGCACTCCGTGTCAGCGCTGACCCTTTCAGAAACGACGGGTCATCGTCGTCCCTATAGAGTGCGGAGGTCTCATCGGCATCACGGTATAAATGTACGATACCCCACGCGCTATCTGAGACTTTCTGGTCGAGCGGGACATATTTGCCCTTCGTCGCTAGGCCGCCGATAACGCTTGTGCCAATGCCCTTGGCTATCTGGTTGTTGTTTGGACTGCTCCCTTTGTTAGAAAGTTGTTGGGGCTGTTGGTTCGTGACCGTGGGTGTCTGCCGCGGGCTCTGGGGCTGGGGTTGCTGGTTTTGATTTTGCGGTGGCACAACCATGTCGATGCTCTGGATGGAAATTTGATCTAGGCGTTTGTCGTTTGTAATTCTGGAAGAAGAGGTGGTAGTAGTACTCGTAGATGCGGAGAAGGTATGCGACTCACGTATTTGCGGTTGGTGATGAATGCCAGCTGTCTCGGGCTGAACAGAGGGGGGTGTGGCTGTAGCTGTAGTTGTAGATATATTTGTAGCCGTAGGAGGAGTAGATGTAGAAAAAGTTCCGGACGACACTCGACATTGACGGAGTCCGTTCGGATCTTTGCCTACTTTATTTCATAATAAGGGAAAACATTGTCCGCTCAGTTAGTTAGTCCATTCATTTCACAACCAACATTCCCCTCCGAACTTTCACAATGAAACACATAACAATAACAGCCAACCGGTAACAGGGATTTCGGAAAAGGAAAACGAAAAACGAAAGGAAAACCCAAGAACTGAAAGTAAATGAAACTCACCACCGTCACCACAACTTTCACTACCACTACCAAGAACAACAAGATCCCTATAAATCTTCCCACCGCTGCTATTCCCGTTGCAATGATTGCTCCTAACGTCCTTCCTCTTCAAATGGTTATGATGGCTATTCAAATTATCACCGCCTCTTGACGCCTTGCCAGCCGCACCTCTGGTCCTCCTCTTATTATTAGTATTAGTATTATTATTATTATTGTTGTTGTTGTTGTTGCAGAAAGGTTGCAACGCGTCACAGAAAGCCTGCAGCGCGAAGTTGTTATCGTTATCTAATCGATCGAGGAGGCGTCGTGGCTGAGAAGAAGAATGTAAACGCGCCTGTGAATGCGAACGTGAATGCAGGCAGGACGGTGATGACGGCGACGATGACGAAGGAGAGGTATGTGAGCTGTTTTTGTTGTTAACGCGGACGGACTCGTCGTCTGCCGGCGTCGGAGTAATAATATTATTATGCTTAAGATTATCACCACCACCAGCTACCAACAATTCCAGGAGGATATGGTAGAAGTATGTGGGCATCCCGAGCTGAATGATATTATTTTTTTTTTTTTTAAAAAAAAAGGGAAATGCGGGTGGGGATGAAATAAAAATTTATCTTTCACCCATCACAGCAGGAGAGGAGTGTCCTTTGTATTATTTAATTAAGGCTTTCGATATGACGGATAGTGGTGTAGACTTTATTTTTTTCGTTGTCGGGAGTCGTCTTCGTTCGTCAATGTCTGATTGATACAAAGATGATAATGACGTTGGAAGCCATGCGAGATATCACGTGATTAACGACGCAAACCTTGGCAGTGCTGAGTCACCGCCAAACGCTGGAAGCTCGCGGAAATCGCTTAATTAGTTTAACTATCCATCCTTAGTTAATTAGGCAGGCCTCCAGGGCCGGTTGCCACCGATCTGATACAAGAACATAGGGGGCAACTACAAGTTAAAATCCCAGCTATCGCTATATTTTTTCTACGGAAAAAAAGTGAGAACGAATCCAGTCAAAAAAAAGTATTGTACGAGTCTTCTATTTTGAAGAGTAGTTTGAGCACAAGAAGTACCTAGGTAGTGTATGTGTTGGAGCTAGCTAGCGGAGCGTAAATGAATGCATGCCATGTCGTAATTGTGATAGAAGAAAACAGGTCATAAAAAGAATCCATCCCCCTTGCCCAAAGACGCCAAGCCGGTGATTGTATTTCCTCCAGCCGTAGGAAAAGAAAAAAAAAACAAGAAAACACCCCAGCAGCAAAATAAAAGCCAAAGGGTTGATGTATTTATTGGCCACCCCGCAATCTCAACACCAAATGGAGAGTACTCTCCTTTTGAATGTTGTAGTCAGAGAGTGTCCGACCATCTTCCAGCTGCTTACCAGCAAAGATGAGACGCTGCTGGTCTGGGGGGATACCTTCCTTATCTTGAATTTTGCTCTTTACATTGTCAATGGTATCGGAGCTCTCAACTTCGAGTGTGATGGTTTTGCCGGTCAGGGTTTTCACGAAAATCTGCATACCGCCACGAAGACGGAGGACAAGGTGGAGTGTGGATTCCTTTTGGATATTATAATCTGAGAGTGTTCGGCCATCCTCGAGCTGTTTCCCGGCAAAGATGAGTCGTTGCTGGTCTGGTGGGATACCCTCTTTATCTTGGATTTTGCTTTTAACGTTGTCGATGGTATCTGAGCTCTCGACTTCCAAGGTAATAGTTTTGCCGGTCAGGGTCTTAACGAAAATCTGCATACCGCCACGAAGACGGAGGACAAGGTGGAGTGTGGATTCCTTTTGAATATTATAATCAGACAAGGTGCGGCCATCCTCCAGTTGCTTTCCAGCGAAGATCAGGCGTTGCTGATCTGGGGGGATGCCTTCTTTGTCCTGGATTTTACTCTTTACATTGTCGATGGTATCAGAAGATTCCACCTCCAATGTAATGGTCTTCCCGGTAAGAGTTTTGACGACTGTTTGCAGGGTATATGTTAGCGCCTGGTTTTCTCTCACGTAGAACATGTCAATTTAGGAGAGGACTTGTTCAAAAGACATACAGATTTGCATTCCTCCACGGAGACGGAGAACCAAGTGAAGAGTAGACTCCTTCTGGATATTGTAATCAGAAAGAGTACGGCCGTCTTCCAGCTGCTTGCCGGCGAAGATAAGACGTTGCTGATCGGGAGGGATGCCCTCCTTGTCTTGAATCTTAGACTTCACCGCGTCGATCGTATCACCAGACTCAACATCGAGTGTGATGGTCTTTCCGGTGACTATAGGCAAGGGAAAAAAAAAAAAAGAGCGGTATGTTAGCAGACTGTTTTACGTTGAAATGGATCTTGGAGGCAGCAACAGTCCTGGAGTGGATGAACTTACGAGTCTTTACAAAAATCTGCATGGTGGCGGACTTTGAAACGTTGAGAGAGATTCAAAGATATGATGGTGACTCAGTGGCAGACCGAAGAGCGGGGTTTGTGGCGTATTGCAACAACTCAAGAGAGAATGCCAAAGGAGAAGGCAAGGCAAGTGGAAGATGACGACAGAGAACCGATCGATGAAACGATGAAACGTTGGGAGGAGGAGAGGTGTCACGGACAGACAGGACAGACAGGTTGATGATGATGATTATGATGTGATGGATGAAGAAGATGGGAAGAAGAAGAGGGAGGAAGAAGGAAAGAGGGCGGTTGGGTTGGGTTGGGAGTTTATTAACCAACCTTGTCACTTGGAGCCGCCTTGCCAGAACGAGGCTTGGTGGAAGGCGAAGTTGGTCCTGGTTAGTCATCCAGCCAGTCACACCCACCACGCCTGCTAAGCAGGAAGCAGAAAACTTGACCTCGCTAAGTGCGCCACTTGTTGGCCCTTACGGCCGTTGCGGTTAGCGATCCCACTAGATCACATGACCCACCACTATATTATGTTCCTGTAGATAGATCTATCAATACAATCTTCAACTATTCTACAGATTATAGCCTGAATAATACATTTTTCTTTTTAGAACATTACATCAACATTTTTAACATGAATAGTTTATTTTTTTTGAAAAGACTCTTACTCTTTAATAGAGATATTTCATTTTCTCTGAATCTATCAGTCAGTAGATTTATATACTTTATATTTTTAAGAAAGTATATTCTTTATTATGAAGAATATTACTTTTTTTTTTATATATCTAAAAAAAGCAGAGTTATCTTAATATAAGTGATATATCTGTTACTTCAGAGTTCAGCTTAAGACTCAGAATCACATACTTCATTAGATAACTTATTAATAGAATAATTACTTATTATAAGAAGACTTCTAACTTATAAGATAAGACTGAGATTAGTTTTTATCAGAGTATGAAATTTAATAATAAGATAATTATGATTCGGAAGAACATACGACCGTCGGATAATAACGCGGCCGCTTCCGAACTACTAGCGTACGCGTGTAAAGGGGCCATAGCATACACTAATTAATTTAGCGTACAAGATTACAATATAAGAAGCCGGTGTACATCTGTAATCATACACTGGCTTAAGCAACCTTTGAATCACATCTGGTAGCATGTCTAAAAACCAGTGAGAAGCACAGGCTCCTCCAGGACATGATAATTCTGCCTACAAAGTGATTCATAGTTATCATGCCAGAGTGGTTCTAGAATATCTCAAAAGATAGTGTATGAAGAGCAGTGAGCAGAAGAGCATTCAATTGATACTGCTTCACTTATTGAGGGAAAACTCCATGCCCAGGTGAATGTCATGTATGTGAACAGATGAGGTGTGAGAAAAAGAGATGAGAGTGATGAATCAGATTCAAAGAAGATCACTCTTCACTCAAAGAGATAAAAGAAGGAGGTGATCATCACCGGAGTCATACAATGATAACAGAAATCATATAATAATATAGTGATATAATGATACAAGCAATATAACAATAGACATCATACAATCAACCAGAAATCACTGAAATGAATATCTCTTCTAGCTGATATGAACAATACTCTTCTCTGCTATCTGAATCAGAAGATATGCAGAACCTCTCAGAGAGTTTACTTGAAGTAGTAAGAAAAGCAGCTGAAACTGCTGAACTGAAATTGAAGCTCTGTATGTGTATGAGAATTCTAAACAAGATCAAGGTCTTGCATACATAGTGACAGGCTGAGACAGAAGCTAAACAACAATTGACATTCACTGCAGATCAAGCATTCACTATGAAGAGCTTTGTCAATGCAATCACTATCATTAATAAGAATAGAGAAAACCAGATCTTAGGCCTGCAGCAGAAGATTGAACATTTACACAGACAGATAACTACACTGAATATGAAGATCTCATCATAATTATTCATGACCTCTTCAGAAGCATACACATTATCAGAGACTGCTGCACAGAATAAGAATCTGAGCATGAGATATATCAAGCTGAGAGATCTGTCAGAGTTATCAAGCTTCAATGACAACTGAAAAAATGATGCTGCAATCAGCTGGCTAAGTCAGATGCAATTATATTATTGAATTGAACATGAACTCACAGACAGACAGTCAACAGAATTTTAACAAGTCTTAAGATCTGCTGTATTTCTACATGAAAAAGTAAAGTTATTATAAATGACTGATGAAAAGATGAATCTCACAGATCTGAAGTGATATTCATTCTTATAAATATGAAATGAGTTTTTCAAATGAATCTTGCACAACTTTGAGAAAGTGAATATATGAGATAAGTGTTATGAATGCTTCACTGAGTGTAGATAAGTGAGTAATCTTACATTATACTTCACACACTTCAGCTTATACTATCTTGTGTTGAATGAAGAGCTTTCAACATTATTCTGTTTACAGATCTTCATTCATAATCTTACATCTAAGTTGAGAGTGAAATGAAAATACTTAATCTCACAGTCAGACACAGTGAAGAAAGCATACAATATTCTTATTATACAGAAACAAGTGAGTCAATTGCAACAGAAAATACTGCAATTGAGTATATCTCAGTGAAGAACAGGTAATCAGACTTCTACAACACAAGTTACATATCTGAATACAATGAATCTAGATCTGAATGTCATCACTAAAGCACTGAATCCTCTGAAAAAGAAATTCCCTGAGTGAAAACCTTGATGTTGCAAGTATTGAGCTTGTTTCAACTGTGAATATCAAAATCATGATGCAAAAGATTGCACCCAGTATACACAGTTAAAAAACTAGCAGAATCAGTGAGCTCAGAGACACTCACTGATATTCTATGAAAAGTCTTCAAAGTGAAAGAGATGTCTGCATTAGATGACTCTCTGAATTCTGCAAATGTAAAGAAGAAGCAGACTTCTGACTGAGATGTGAGCGAGGAAGTGAACACTCACCTCAATGCCTTGAGGCCCGAAATGTTAATGTATAAGAGGCACTTGAGTAAGAATCAAGAGATGGCTGTAAAAGTGTTAGCAGACACAGAAGCTTCTACACAATATATTGATGATTATATAATCTGAAGATTGAAAGAGGTTCACTGAGTGAAGAATCTCTGATACATAAGATTATCTGATAACTGATATTTGATATCACCTGCAAGAGTAAGAGTTCCCTTGCACTTTGAAGAATGATCTTGCTATATTTGAGCATGAGAGCTGCAGAACATGAAATACAATCTTATTCTCAGACTTAATTGATTTCAAAGATTCAATTCACAGATTCAATGATGTACATGCCATATGCAGTTGACTGATAGGAAGAAAATGATTCATATGATTCTATCAACTGATATGAGAAGAACATTTCACATCTCTGATATAGAAGAATTAAATCTGCTTACACATTAACAAGCAAAGAGAACAATTTACAAGACCTTATCTGAAAGCATTCTGTATGTCATACAGGACCTGAAAGTGGAGAAAACCAAGATAAAGAATATGCAGGAGGACAAGCATATGAAGAAGCTTCTGAAGAAGTATAGAAAGGTCTTCTGAACAGATCTTTCACTGAAATTGTCATCAGAATGAGGATTTGTACATGAGATTGACATGAGGGATGCAAAACCAGTCAATCAGAATGTGTACTCTCTGTCACAAACACATCTTGAAGAACAGAAGTGTCAGATCACTGACCTTCTAGAACATGATCTCATACAATCTTCATCAAGCGCGTGGGGCTTTCCAGTCCTATTCATGAAAAAGACAGGTGGAGAGTGGCAGATATGTATTGATTATTAAGCACTTAACAAGCTTACAATCAAGAATGAATATTCACTGTCACAGATTCAACAACAGTTGAATACAGTTGAAAACATCTGATATCTATTGAAGATTGATCTTCTCTCAGAATACTGACAGATCTGTGTAGATGAACTGTCAGTTCTGTGAACTGTGTTTAATATGCAATGAGAGAAGTTTGAATTCCTAGCAATGTCATTTGATCTGACAAATGCACCTGTCATCTTTCAAACAATGATGAATACAATTCTTTATAAACAGAATGGAATCTCATGCCTTATATATTTCAATGACATTCTAGTCTTTTCAAACTCATATGATGAATATCTGAAGCATCTTGATAAAGTGCTTATAACTCTGACAGAGTATAAGCTCTACATCAAATCAATCAAGTGTGTGTTTGAAATGAAAGAGTTGAAGTTTGTGAGACATGTAGTGAGTGATGACTGTATACACTTCATTCTGAAGAAATTGAATGTCATAGTGAATTGACTGTGACTGAGAAATATACATCATGTATGACAGTTTCTTGAGTTGATCTCATATTACTGCAGATTCATCAAGGATTTCACACAAATATCTGCATCACTCTCAGATCTCTTAAGAGAAACAGATGCAAATCTGTGAAAGAAGAAGTTTCATTCAATCATCTGAAATGCTGTGTGTGAAGAGGCTTTTCTCACACTGAGAGAATGTGTAACAACATTCTCAGTACTTATTCAACCAGATTGTAATAAACCTTTCTACATTGAGATGGATGCATCTGAATGAGCTATCAGAGATGCTCTTCTACAGATGAGTAAGAACAGCAAGCTGCACTCAGTGACATATGATGATAGAAAACTATCAGATGCTGAGCTTAATTACTCAGTGTATGAAAAGAAATTGCTAGCAATCAAGCATATGCTGATGTTGTGAGATAGATATATCAACAACAGGTATATGACAACAGTGATCATGAATCATGAAAGCCTCATTTATCTACAATTAATGATAAAATCTTTCAAATGCTTAGCACATTGAATCTCAGAGTTTCAAGCATACAATCTTCATATCAAATATTAAAAGAGATCAGATACAGTGATGTCTGATACAATCAGTCACAGACTTGATTTCATGAGTGAGAGTTCTGCAAATCAGGCACAAGGAATGTTTGTGTTAAACACGCTGAGAGAATGCAAGGAATCAGAATGAGTGAACATCATGATCTCTCACTTGAAGAATGACAAGATGTCAGATGATAAGTGTCTTGTGAAAGTAGTAGAAGAGATGCTTCTGAACTTTAAGCTGAGAAAATTGGAAAATGATGTTGTGCTTTACTGCAATCTAGAATATGCAGAAGCTCTCTATCTAGAATCTTCATTTCATCATGACTTGATGACTCACATACACAAGGAATTCAGCCACTTAGAAAGCCCTGGACTCATGAGTGTACTCAAATCAAGAGTGTACTGGCCAAGCATGGCTGAGGACATTCAGATGTACACTCACAAGTGCCTGAATTGTCAGGTTGTAAAAGAATCTAAGAAAGGGTTAGAATATGAGAAAGCACAACATCAGATGAAGTGTATAATACAATTATTCAAATGATGAGGGGTGGACCTCATAGACATATTGCCACAAATGTCAAATGGAAATCAATGAATAATCACTGCTATTGACTACACTACTGACTGGCCAGTTGTGAAAGCAGTTTCAGAGGTGACAGAGAAGATAGTGATGAAGTTTCTACATGATGAGATCTATGTCAACTATGAAATGCCGCATGAGATTCTAACTGATAACAGTACAAATCTCATAGAAGAAGTGGTGAGGCATTTCATGGGCCAGTTACAGACAAGACATCATAGAACAACATCATATCACTCATGAATGAATGAGAAGATGGAATGCTTGAATGAAATCTTGGACAACATGCTGATGAAATATCTAGTGAGCAAGCCTACAAGATTATGAAATGAATATCTCAGGCAGGCGCTATTAGTCATGCGAATCTGGCAGCATGCAGTTACCAAGTGTTCACCATTCTACCTGTTGTATGAATTGCATCCGCGCATTCCAGAGAATGCTTCAGAAAAGGTGAGGGAGGAAACAGCAGTTACAGATGCAGCAGTCACAGATGCAACAGTCATGAATGCAGAACCAAGATTGAAAGAGATCAGCCACACATGAGTAAAAGCTAATGAGTTACTTCTGAATCAAGCAATTCAATCAAAAAGAATATGAGACTCACTTATTAAGGAATTGAGTCTCAAGGTGGGAACATGAGTTCTCATATGCAATGAGAGTTCTGAGAAGTTTCAACCTAGATGGTTTGAGTCATATAAAATACTCAAATCACATTCTCTGAGAATGTATGCATTGGAAGAATCAGAGAGACAGATCTTATACAACTTAATCAATGATTCATGACTTGTGAAAGCAAAGATGTAAGACTCAAGTGAATTATGATCATTCACAGCACTATTGTCAGTGTTGAAAAAGAAGAGACTTACAATTGAAAAGTCTCGCGAAGTAAGAGAAATCATAGACACTTACAAATCAGATGATCTCACTTATTCCAATCTTTTCACAATTATAAGAAAAGAATGAGAAGAAATGAAGAAATCAGGTAAATACCACACTTCAATAAGTGATGAGACTGTAGCTGATCATACAATAACATGCTGCAGACAGTGAGTATAACATAGCAAAGAGCAGTCTCAAAGTAGCAGACTTGCACATGAATCAGATTACAGAAGAAAAAGGAATTCAGAGTTGAATTTAACTGTTTACACCAGTTCAATCACAGAGACTACAGAGGATGAACTATCTGAAACATTCATAAATACATGAGACCAAGCTATCTCAATCCCTGAGAATGCTCAGAGGTCAGGCAAGGTTAGTTTCAATGAATTATTCACTGTAGTAGTCTGAGTGAATGAAGAGAGACAGTATAATGTGTGAGACAGAATCACAAAAGATGAAAGCTGCTGAACCTAGTCACTGAACACAGTATTATATAGAGGTCATGTAAGAGTAGTGGCTAGCAGACAAAGAAAAAGTATAAGAAAAGAAAAGAGATAATGAATTAATCATCAACTGTAAGAATCAGCTGCAAAAGATAAATGTTATCATACATATCTCATTCATTTTCATACATCACACATTAATCTATTTCCAACACCACACCACTCAAAAAATGTCAAAAAACAAAGAAAATCTCAAAACTTGAGATTCACAAGGGATTTGAGAGCTGTAAGCTGCTCTCACAATAACACTGTATATATCTCTGATTCCTCTATCACTCTGCATACAACATTAATGTCATTTATCACAAGATTGGCTGGAATATCAATATAGGAATGTGTATGTGTACATGTAGAGAAATTAAAGAAGAGCATGAGACCTGCAGGACCAGGAGCCAGAGTAGGGGGAACAGAGGTGAAAGAAACAGAAGAAGGAGGTGCAGAACTGAATGAATGACAGCAGAAGCCACCTGGGGCTGAATGCTTACAATTCAGTATGCACACAACCTTCCCCGCAGAGGAGGGGGAGGAAGAGAAAGCAATGAGAGAAGCTTAGAGACAGAAGAGAGTAGTCTCAGTGATGTTATCATCTTCAATTAAAATGGCCTCTGGCGCTGGAGCAACTAAGAACTATTGTTAGCATACAAAACTGCAAAAACAGAGATAACAATTATCAAATAAACACTCACTGGTCTTAGAATTGTACACACAATTACAACATGCACAAGGCTTCTCAGAAAGAGAGAGAGGGACACAGAGGAATGCAGAAAGCAGAACACAGCATGCAAACAGCTCATTCTCACAACAACATCTCAGACAAGGTGTACAAGCCTCACACTCACAGGTGTAAAAGAGTATGACATCTGCATTCTCATTTCTGAAAACACAGATATCTTTCACCTGCATCACAAAGTCAGACAACAGACACCAGAGGATAGGCCAATACAGATCAATCATCTCAAAGGAATTTGTCAGAGCAGATATCTCTGTGATGTTGAACTTTACAGTTATAAAAAGTTTCTTGATATCTGTGAACATCACAACTTCATGCACAGCAAAATTCATAACAATTTTTCCTAAGAACAGGAAAATCAGCATCAGAAAGAAAAGATGAAAAAGAAAAAGACTTACAATCTCAATGCTGTTGAGAAGAGAGATGATTCTCTGAGATGAATGAATGATTGTCTCATCACAAATATTTAAAATGAATGTAATAATCAGCATTTATAATCAAGCTTTAGATAGTCATGTCATACACAGTCTTTGTACAATAAATTGTTCTGAGAGTCAGTAAGAAGAGCAGGAGCATATATGCTGGGAGACATGGTTCATTAAGCCTACACAACATCTTCTTAAAACAGGGAGAGCTAGTAACAAAAGCAGAGGCGGTAAAACCAGGGGTCGCGGGAACAGGGGTAGCGGGAGTAGGAGAACCAGACACAGGGGCAAGTGTAGGAGATTGAGAAGTGGCAGAGAAAGGGACAGAGAAGGAAGCAGCAGAGAAAGAAGTGACAGAAGAGGCAAGGGAGGACACAGAAGACTCAGTCACACATGACATGAACAATTTCTTCATTATCACATTCTTCAAGTTCTTGATCAAGAATACAACATCAGGTTCACTATCATCAGCAGACATGAATCTGTCAACATGTGAAGATTCTACACAAATAAAAACAAATATATCAGCATCTGTATTCATGCAAAATCATACCAGGAAACACAATCAGAAACCTGCTGAGAAGAAGAAATGATTGAGAGTATATGAGAAGGTGAAGAAGATATGTCATCATTCATGATAATACATCATTCTGATGATTGTTAGAAGATAAACAAGTCCTGATCATGTTTCACAATACATTACACTTACTGCTAATGAACTGCTCAGTATGAGCACTACAATGACACTTGCTGTGAGAACAGGGAGTCATTGCCAGGAACATGTACAATGTGATAGATGAACAGATGGAAAGAGTTGAACAGAAGAAGAGGTAGAAATCTTGAATGAGATGATGACATTTGATGATGACAATGATGAAGATGATGATTGAAGAATGAGAAAAGTTAGTGAATGAGTGATGTAATATAGTGAAAGTTTCTTTGTGAGGGTGTACACAGAATGCTAGCCAAATCAGAAATAGGCCACACGATCGCGAAACACTAGTGGCGAGCTAATCCACATGAAGCTAGGGCATACAACATGGTCACATGAGTGTGACTGAATCTGGTGGGAGAGAATGTGGTTCAGAAGAACATACAATCATCAGATAATAACACAGCCGCTTCTGAACTACTAGCATACACGTGTAAAGGGGTCATAGCGTATGCTAATTAATTTAGCATACGAGATTACAATATAAGAAGCCGGCGTACGCCTGTAATCGTACACTGGCTTAAGCAACCTTTGAATCACATAATAGAGAAACTTCAGAATAAAGAAAAATAGAGTTAATATTTATCTATAGAATCTGTTCATTTCAATTTATTAAATTCTTTATTATCTCTTATCTCTGAAATACTGACTTTTAATAATAATCTGAATCAATCTATTTATTATATCACAGATAATCTTATAAATCTTATATAGATAATACTATAAAATCAGATAACTATAGCTGAAATCACTTAACATCTTACTATATCTATCTCTATATAAAGAGATACTATAAGAGATGAGTTATAGAAATATTAGAAGAAAGTCAAATATATACTAAATATTAAATCAGTGATTATATTTAATAACTCTAATTATAAAGTCTAATATATTACTATATTAATTAATATGAAAGTTATTAATAAAACTGACATTCTATTAAGAACTTAATAAGAATTCTCTTTTATATATTATATTAATTCTGAGAAGTAGAGAATTCATTTCAAGTCTCTATATAGATGTATATTATCAAGTCTTATTAAAAATGTTTAAATCACTATTAAAATCTTGAAAGCTGATAATACTGTGACTCTGTGAGATAAAATTAATATTAAATATATAATATCACTGATAGAAGAATGAGTTAATATCTTTATTATTATTATTATTATTCTTCAATTATAGATGTATGCAGTCAGAGACTATGACATCTACCTGAGAACTTTAGTTCTCAGGGTTTTTTTTCTATGTCTGTAAAGTTAACTATTATACATTCATCAATTTCAGATATGCAAAATCAGAAAATTCCAGCTCAGAATACAAAAACTGTTTACAAATTGCAGTGTTTTAACATCTTTTGATACTTTGAAACCATTTGACAATATCATGACAAAAGAAAAGAGAAAAAGAACACAGTCTCAAAGATAGACACATTAAATAAATAGATAGAAAGAAATTGAAAGAAAAAGATAAAGAAAAAGATAAAGTAAAGAGAGACTATAACAAAACAAATTATTAAAAGAGAGTGTATAGCTGTTTTAACAGACTATATCTGATTAATTTTCTCCTCTTCATACTCAGATAATTCTGAATTTAGTCATTTTCTTGTAGCTGCTTGAGTTTCTGATAGAAAGTCTATTAAGTATTTAATTCCTGTCTCAGTTGAGAATAAGAATCTCATATTTAATTGATTTAGATTATACTTCTCTTTCAATCTGGCTCTGAGACTATTGTATAATGCACAGTGTATTACAATATACTCAGAATTCTCATTTGTATTGCAGAAAGAGCATTCTATTGAGTCAAATCTATCATCAAATCTTTGTATATAAGATTTGAAATAGTCATGTTCTAGTTTCAGCTGTATTATAGATGAGAATATTTTCTTTTTACATTTAATTGAACAAGATTTTCACTTGGGTTTTGTTTCAAATCTTGAATAATGTATACTCTTCTTTTGTTTCTGCCAGCTTTCATTTCACTTATCTAAACAAGATTCTTTTATTTTTCTCTTTATAAAAGACCAGGACACAATTTTTTGAATAGATCTGCTTAATTCTGCACTCTTTTTTGCAGCTGAATCAGTCAATTCATTACCATGAATATTCATGTGAGCAGGAACCTAGTGCAGATAAATTATCAGCTTTGATGTTCTTCTCTTTTGAATTTTCAAAACAGAGTTTAAGATCAGTTCAAGATTCATTTGATCATTATGAATCTGACTATTTCTAAGTCTTTTTAAAGCAGCTTGACTATCAGAGAATATCCATGTCTCTTTCAAATAATTTCCTCTTTTATGAGATTTTATTTCAATGAGTTTGAAAGCTTTCACTATTGCAAATAGTTCAGCATCAAAGACTTCACATTCAGAGCCTAGATTTCAGAAATCTGAGATAAAATTAATATTATCTTCAGTATAAGCAATGCCTGCACCTAATCTATTCAAGTTCTCATTTTTTGAGCCATCTGAATAAACCAGAATAGAGTCTTTTATATTGATTGTAGAAATTCTCTTCAAATGCTGTTCATATTCTTTCTCTTTTGATAGTTCACTTATTTGTAAGTCTATAAGAGATTCAAGCTTTTCTCTCCAGAGAGATAACTTCTCATGATCAACTTTTTCAACATTTAAAGAAGAAAATTGATTTTTAATCAGAGAGCATAGTCTGTACAGTTGAGAAGGTATTTTCTTTGAAGAATTATTTTCATTTCAATCAAGAAATCTATTTCAATCCAGTTCATTTCCAGAGTTAATTGATGAAAATGAAGAAGAGACTCTTTCTCTGATTATATGATTTGAGCTCATCTTTACAACTCTCAGAGCATAGTTCATACAGGCCTTTTCAAATCTAATAGCAGGAGAAGGAATTGAAGCTTCAATTTCCATTGCTTTAATAGAAGATGATTTGAATGCTCTCAGAATTCTTCTCAAGACTCTGTTTTGCAGACTTTGAAAGAGTTCAGTGAAATTCCCTTGATTATTTCATCAAACTTGAACTTCATAATCAGCTACTGATGTAATACAGGCTATATATAACTGTCTCATAGCCTGGAAGAATAGACCTCTCTCTGTATTTGATAGTCTGATTATGTTGTTCAATATTCTTTCTGCCTTGACAGTTCTTTGTTGAATGTGATATTTAAAATTCAACTTGGAGTTTAATCATACTTCTAATCATTTGACATTTACACTGGGTTTAATCTCTCTATTTAAAAGAGTTAGAGATAGTTCTTTCTCATTGAGTCTAGAAAAGAAATGAATTAACTCAGTTTTATTCATATCAAATTGAATTTGATTGATATCTGCTCTAACAAAGATTTCCTTTACAGCTTCTTCAATTACTTTCAAATTCTCTTTGATAGTTTTTGAGCTGTGGACTAGACCAATATCATTCACATAACTCGGAGATCGCACTATTCTCATATTTCTATTTTTGAATAGATACACAGTGTATATTGCAAATAAAATGAGTGAGATTGAAGATCTCTGCGGTACTCCTATTTTTATCTCAGTCTTGTCTTGTTTCATTTCATCAAAGAAGAGTTGTATAATTCTTTTAGACATAAAACAGTTAATTCATTTTATTAGAGAAAGTGGCAGTTTTAATATCTTCAATGTCTGAATTAACTTTGACTTTGAAACATGATCAAATACTCCCTTTATATCAATAAAAACTGCAGTTGAGACCAGACCCTCATGCTTTGCTATTTGAATATCATGAATAACTGAGAGAACAGTGTCAATTGCAGAACACTGTTTTCTATCTCTCATTTGTTCACTGAATAAAAGAGAATCATCTATAGAGCTTATAAAAGATAGTCAAGTTACTATTATCTTTTCTAAAACCTTTTCTAAACAGTTCAATAGAGATATTACTCTATATGACTTAGGAATTGAAGTTTTTCTATTAGGTTTTGCAAGAATCACTTCAGTGGCTTCTCTCCAGCATTCAGAATGATATCCATTTTTCAAGAGATTGAAAAAGAGCTCAAAATATTCATTCTTTAAGTAGGAATATGTATTTTGAATAATCAAGTGATTAATTGAATCAGGATCTGCAGCAGTTTTAACAGAACTTGAGAAGATAGCTGACTCTAATTCATCTTGTGTAAGATCAGGCCATTTCCAGTCATTTTCATCAATGTAGTTGAGAAGTGATATATTCTCTTCCTCTGAATCTGAATCTGAGTCTGATGAGTTCTGAAAGAGAATTCTCATGAAAGCTTGACATTTTTCCTCAAAAGAGTTTGCTGTATATAATTCATTCTGAAACTCATATTCTAAGGCTGGAAGTTTTGCTACACTTCTTATTTTAGTATAGTTAAAAGCTTTAAAAATTTCCTTCTCTTGTGCTTCTTCAAGAAATTTATTCCAGCAGTCTGTTTTAGCTCTTTTGATATCTGAAAAATATTCATTTCTGACAGCTTTGAACTCTTCATCAGATATTACATCATTTTTTCAATCTCTTCTAGCAGTAGCTAATTCTTTTCTTTTAGATGAGATATTCTCATTTCATCAAGGTTTTAAATACTCAGAAGATTTTCTTTTTGAAATATTATCTCTAACACTTATTAGAATAATAGATGTAATAAGCTTCACTCTATTCTCAAGCATTTCATTTGAGATATCTTGACCAGAATTTCAATATAGCTCATTCTGTCTTTCAGATTTTAGCAGTTTTATGCTTTCTTCAACTGCTTTTCAATCAGCTTTTTCAAAGTTATACTGATTAGAGAGAAGAGGATTTTCACTCATTTGTTTTTCACTCAGTTCAATATCAAATTGAATAATCTCATGACCTGATTCTGATGTCTCATTTGAATCAATAAATCAGTTTATAAGTCTTCTTTTCATTAGATTTTGTGATATGAAGATTAGATCTATAATAGACTTCTGTTTCATGCCTTTTTCTAAAGAATGTTTATTGATCAGACTTATTAATCAAATCTATTGAATGCTCAAAGGTTCATTCAACTAGATTATCAGCTCTCACTGCTCTCTTGCATTCTGAATTTCATCAGAGATGATGTGCATTG